TTAAAATAAGAAGAATGATAAAAAGGCATACAGAATGTTTTGTATGTCTTTTTATTTACTTACTTTTAAAACATCCTTGTTAATTTTTTAATTAGCTTAAATGGTATTATGCTATATATGTTCTTATTCTTCCTTTTGTGTTCACCAGTTAAGAAAATACTGTTTCTTTCTCTACCTATGTACTTACTTACCTACCTTACAGCTTCGGATTGCTTCATTGTATTTCACAGAATTTATTTGCCACTTACTCATTTCTCTAGTGATACCTCCATCTACTTGGACAGTGATCCACACACTCTAGCAAATATATTCCCTAATGGAAGGGTGTATAAATTTATCCTGAATATTGTCTCAGGAGTTGACAACTTGTAGGGTTCCTTTTCTCCATATTTTTGCTAACAACTTTTTGTGTCTTAAATCTTACATTTAATTCATTTTATGCTGTCATATTTGGGGAAAAATTAGGAAGTTGAGGAATAATAGCCTATATTTAATGGCCAAATTTTTGTTATGGCAACTAGAGGTTTAAAACTTGAAATGGGAATGTTAAAAGAAGATTGAGCTTCATGTTAAATTTAAAGTATCCTACATGACACTGTCCAGGTTTTTGCAAGATGCCTCATTGTCTAGAGGGTAAGAATATTATTTTGTTGACTTGTCCAAAAACATCATCATGTTATGGTCCCAGAGTCAATCATGTTTAAAGGTAATCTGATTCATTTAATTGCCCTTGTTAGCGGCTCAAGTTAACTAGAATGTCAATAAACTAATAGATGATGAAAAGAGTAATGCCTTTTGGTCATTTCAGTTGGCCATTTCTTCTCTATGGGAAATGAAGCATAAGCAGAAGATTACTTGGAATTTAGAATTAATATTCTATAGTTTTTGTCCCTCATTTGGACTTTGTATTTCTGATGGGAACTTAGCTGCAATTATTTTTCCAAAACAAGTAAGAAATAGTTTGCTAATACTTATTTTTTAAATTGACATACAACATTTCAGTTTTATACCATGATTTGTTATTTGTATATATTATGGGATGATCATCAAGATAAGTCTAGTTGATATGCTGAATCACCATAATTTTTCTTCTTGTGATGACAACTTCTAAGATTGCAGCAACTTTTGGTTATGCAATACTGTGTTACTGAGTATATTAATATTATAAATTAACTTTGGTAGGAGGGCATATGATTATTCTGGTCTTTTTATCATTGCCCATTAAAATAATGTTAACAGCTATTTAGCACCTCTTTTTGCTGGGCACTACTAGCTATTCTGTACATGTTATTAGCTTTATGAAGCAAAAACAAATGTATGAAATAGGCATTATTTAATTTTTTTTTAAATGAAGCCAATAAGAATATTATTTCATGTGTAGGAATTTTTGTAGTACATATTTTTTCAGGGATATATGTTTCATTGATCAACTCTTGGTCTTTTTCTCATCACTTTTAATTTTTACATTTATGATTTTCACTAGGTTTTCTGTGTCTTGTTAAGTACACAGTCTAATAGTAAGGATTTTAATTGGTATATACTTAAAAATTCTTGAAAGACTTTATTTTTAACATCTACTTACTGTATTATATATGGAATCAATTTGAATTTAATTGATATTGAGCTTGTTAATTAGGAATCTAGCCTCAGGAGTTAAGTAGCATACTTAAGTTTTTATTTTTCAAAAGCTATGAGTTCATATAATCTTTTTTTCATTGTTTCAATTGGAAAAGATAAAAAATTGGTTTTCATCTGAACTAAGTAGTGAATTAGATAATTCCAGTTACTGGTTTTATATTGGAAAACATTCTTTTATTTTAGCTACCAGCTAGCAGAACTTTTTTGTTGTAAACCCAAATAAAAGCAACTTAAAGCATGTTTATTTTTCAATGAAAAATGACATGATTAGAAATAATAGTAGATGGGGAAGAGGGAAAGGGCGAAGACAAGGATAGATAGGACTTGGCAATAGAGTTTTGGTAGAGGGTCAGTGAAGCATGTACACATATATAGTTATGCAAATGATGGACAAATTAATAATAATTAGATAATGTAGAAAACAATGCTTTTATGTATCAGGGTACTTGCAGTTTATTACAATTAGAGGAATAGTAACCTGACTATATTAATGCAGGTGGGGACTTACATGGGCAATTTTCCCGAAGGAAATTTTTCCCAAGGCTGAATATTTTAGTTAAAAAGTTGGGTGAACAGCACTAAGAAATACAAAATACTGAATATGTATATATCATAGTAGAATACTGCCACCTTGTGTATATGTGATGTTGTTTTGTTTCTAGTTTCTTTTGTTCTGTCAACTAATACCATGCACCTTTTCACCATTTGGTACTATGATGGATGTGTAAATGTGTGAAATTTCTTTTGTTCCTATAGTAAAATCAAGCCAACTTTTTTCTTTTTTTAAACAAGGTGGAAGGGGAATGGGTCTTTATTTTGAATACATTAAATTTGGTGTAGTTAATTCTAAGAATTGGATAATTTGAGAGATCAGTGTGGTTACTTGATCTAGGGTTAATTTAGAATTGAACCCTTTTATCTGTCTTATGCAAGTTGCTGGTTCTTTGATCTTTCTCCATATCGTTTGCTGTGCTTTGCATCATTATTCTGCATAGTAGAATTCTTAACATTGTCAATGAAGGAAGGGCATTGGGCCTACTCATAAAACCACTTTCCTTGATTTTTAAATATTTTTCCTCTTTATCGTGTCAGAAGAATGACTGTAATAATAAATGTAATTGTGCTTTGAAAAATATTAATGTAATGTAGGAAGCATTCCTTTAAGTCATTTTGGTTATCTGAAGGCATGATTTACTGAACATGACTTAAACATGAGATGTTAACTCGCTAAAGAAGAAAAATCACAAGTTTGCTTACTTTCTTCATCTGGAAAATAAGTAGTAGGATAGGGTTGTTTCTAATGAAATTTTAGCTTCACAACTTTATTGCCCTGTAAATTTTTACTCTTATTATTAAATGTTAATGCTATAATGCCCTTCAGTTTACTTATTATATTTTTTATTTTTTATATATGAAATTTTTTTTAAGATTTATTTATTTGTACTGGGGTACAGGCCAGAGGCTCAGGGGCGGTGAGAGGCTTCACCAGGGACAGAGTGGGGAGCAGAACAGGCAGATGTACGAAGTACACTGCTGAGGGGAGCAGCGGGCGGGTCAGGAGAGGTCTGGCTCGCCATGTGGTCTCCTCCGGGGCAGGCTGCAGGCGGGAATCGAACTCATGCGGAAGTGGCTTCAGATTCTCAGTACTGTGCTTTAACCCGCTGCGCCACCAGGGAGGGCCTACATGAAATTTTTTTAAGGCTAATATAATTACATAGTTGTGTTTAACTGTCATAAAGTAAATTAATCATCTGAGGGGATGTATGTGTATAGAAGTTTAAAACCAAAAACCAAAGAAATTTACTTACTTTTAATTTAACTCATGTGATACTTGAAGATATCAGAAGATTGGTTTTGAGTTGACCTAGATTTTGATTATATACCAGCTAAGCAACATAATGCTTTATTTGGGGCTGCAAACACATTCCAAATGCTTACAGTGCAATGTCTGGGAAGACTCCAAAGTTGATATAAATATACTAAAGGCCTTTTCATAGATTGAAATGCAAATGTAGAAAAAGCTAAATTAGCCTACATTTGAAAACATGGAAGTTCTTTAGGCTATTACCCTACTAGAAATTTAAGACCAACTATTCTTCAGTATATAAATATCTTCAGGTTTTAGTGGATAGCAGTAGGTACTTCCTGCTTGTTTACCTTGATTAATTTTTTTCTTCTGAAGTGCTAAGAGCTTATAATCAGATTTAATTTACTTGTCCACCAGGAAATAATTTTTGAAAATTCTAAGCAGAAATTTAAGAAAATGATTCTTCGTTAAGTTTTGTTGAACATGCCACTTTGTACTGAAATAATTTCCCCGTGTCTTGTGGTTGTAATAACAAAGCAAGATCATAGTGGTATTTTTACACCTATTTTTGAAATACCAAACTGCTAACTTTTTTAAAAAAAGATTTATTTGTGCATACAGAGCTGGGGTACAGGCTAGACATGCAGGGGCAGTGAGAGGCTTCACCAGAGACAGAGTGGGGAGCAGAACAGGCCGATTGATGAAGTACACTGTTGAGGGGAGCAGCGGATGGGTCACGACAAGTCTGCACCATGTGGATCACCTCCAGGCAGGGATTGAACTTGTGCTAAGGTGGCTTTAGCTTCTTAGTGCTGTACTTTAACCCACTGTGCCACCAGGGAGGGCCCCCAAACTGCTGTTTTATAGAGAATTCATGACAATGAATTAAATGTTCATGAGCGAATGATTGAATTCACTAACTTTTCATTTCACAAAGAAAAAGTAATGTATGTATTATGAAACAAAGTTCATTAAAATATACATGTGCCCTTCTAAAGTAAACTATGATGGAAATAAAATACTAAGCTATACTTCCTAAGCATGAAGTGAATATAATTATGCAAAAAGCAAAACAAATGGTAACCTCTCTACTTTTAAGAAGTGTAGTACTTTAAAAAGATTATCAATGGTGACATTAGTTAGGAGGTTTTCTGTAAAGATTTTTCAGAAGACCTCCTTCCTTGTATAGGGAGGCAGGAAAGGAAAATTAAGAGAAATTGGATTATAGTTAATACTGTTTCTGATTCTGTTAAGTGAATTCTAATTATAGTATCTTTTAGGTTAGTCTATAACATGTAGAAAATGAAATATTTATACTCTAAGGCATTTTTTCTTTGCATTTTCTTTTTCTTTTGAATGCATTAAATTCCAGTGTTTGTAGCCCTTGGTGAGGTAGGTGCTGTTCATCAGAGTAGTTCTATAGTTAGTAACATTAATATGTAGATAGTTGTTATGTACTCATTTAAACTAATATTAGTGGGATAAAGTCTTTTAAGTTCATGATTTTGAGATGTTTAGCACAGGTTTCATTTTTATGTATTTTTCTTTTTATTAGGCAAGAAGTTATGAAATGGAATGGATGGGGATATAATGATTCCAAGTTCTTCTTAAATAAGAAAGGCCAACTTGAGTTGACTGGGAAAAGGTAACTGGTTTGTTTATTCTTTTATTTGTTCCTCCCCACCCCCCATTCCCTGGGCAAAAAACGTAAATGCCAAACATAAGCTTATATAAAAAGGTAAGCTAATTAAATGGCTCCTCTTTCTTGATTTAAGTTATTAACATTTTGCTATAATTCTTCTTTTCTGTGGTATTTAAAACTCTGATGATATAACATTTCAGGGTTTAGAGATGTATCCCTTAAAAAATAAAGTCCAAAGACTGAATTTTATATCTGATTATCTAGTCCACATTCACATTTCTCCAATTGTCTCAAAGATGCATTCTGTAGATGGTTTGAATCAGGATCCAAACAATGCCTACAGTCACCCAACCTTCAAATCCTCACACCATTGACTTGTTAAAAGTACCTGTACTTTCAATTTTGAGAATTTGCTTTTGGGTTTAGGTTATTATGAGAGGTGAAAATTTTTAGGTCTGTGTGAGTGTAAGCAGTATTTTTAAAATTAGCTTTCTGAGATATACTAGGGAAGAAGTGATGAGAAATGTCAGTTCCTTTGTGTGATAACTTTCACATTTTAAAATCTTTGGTAATATGTTAAGAATTCTAAAGAATGCTATTCCAGATGCAGAAAGAATTGTAAAATGAGTCTTAGTTTTAGGCAGCAGTTGACCCTGCCACTGTTGGTGTTTTGGGTTTGTCTATTGGATTTTGATATAACTTTTAGAAGGACAATGAGTACAAATATGTAATAATTGAATATTGACCCTGAAAACAAAGGTCAAAATTGAATCAAGTATGTAATGGTATGTCAGTTTATTGAAATATCAGCAAGGAAGTTTTATTCATTTGAACATGAGAAGGTTATTTCTTTTTCTTTGCAACACCATTATTCCATTTTTTAAAATAAAACCTCAGGAGTATTAGCGGGGAGCTAACTTTGATAAGGTGTAAAGTTGTATATTTGACATTTGCTTTTTAATAGGAAAAATAAGAATTATCTGTGATAATATCATAGTCCTAAATTGACTAGGCAGCATGTTGGTAGAGGATTAGTTGAGAAATTTTATAAATTCAAGTAAAAGAGATTTCTGGTTAAAATTATAGCATCAAAAAAAATACCCAAAATGAAGAGTGATGTAAAATAAAATTATAGAATCAGTGTTCTAAGCATTGAACATTTTATGTTTTAAATAGAATGATGCCTAATAAAGTAGAAATGTATTTATGTAGAGCTTGATTTTTCAAAATCTTCTGGTAACAGGAGATGGGAGAATAATCTTACCTGAGAAGTCATTTTCTTCTCTTTTCAGACACTTTCTTCATTTTTATCTTTTTCTTTATTTGGGTCTTGAAGTTACAGCATCTCTGTTTCACAAGATGGGGAGAATTGTCACTTCTGCTCCAGCACAGTGCCCTTGCAAACACTCACTGTATTCTGTAGGATACCACTACTTACAAACTAGTTGTTCCATCCGGGTTCTTATTTTGGGTGTTTGGCATTTGATATGTCAGTTTTCCCAGAATAGACCAGGTTGCAGAGGTCTAACTACATGTTCTCTACTTTATAAATGATTCATTTTAGAGATTACAAGCCCAGTTAATTAATTTATAGTTAGATTATCCCTTTTCCAGTGTGTGGGACACTTGTTAATACTTTTGAGGTTACGATAGGTGGAAAACAAAACTTGTATTTAAATATTGTTTGGAGGAATTTAGAGTGAAGGGGATCCAGTGGTCTTAGAATAAGAATGCTGTATGTTTTCTGAAGTTTTGTTTCCTTTTGAGGTACTAGCTGTGCCTTTATCTCAAGCCAAAACTTATTTAAAAACAAAATCAAATTGGAAATCATTGTGTTGCCAATTCCTTTTCCCAATACCACTTTAACTTTGCTTGCCTGCTTTGGGTCAGCCTGTACTGCCTTCCGATAGATTAACTGTTTTGTTTTGATTCAGAATTTAAAGCTACGTGTGGGAGGACTGTTGCTAGCAATTAGCAACTACTTGACCATTACTAGAAGCAGAATATAGGGTTTACACTTAAATGAAAATACCTAGCTTTAATGTTTTACCTTCTTTTTATCTTAGGTATCCTCTCAGTGGTATGATTTTACCAACTTTTAGAGAATGGATCCAAAATACCCTTGGAGTAAATATGGAGCATAAAACTACCTCTAAAGTAAGTAAATACGGTGACTACTAAATTGCTTAACTCTTTGTGTTTGCTTTTAAACCTCAAGTTAATCAAATTAATCAGACTTATCTTTATTATTCAGTATAGTTGTTTTAATGTGTTGTTACTTTTTTGTTAAAAAGTCTGCTAGCTATACTAGTCCCTTGTTAGGTTTCTTGGGGACCCTTTTTTTAGCATCACAGATCTAAATTCTCATCTCACAATTTATCTGAAACTTAATTGACAAAGCTTTTATTCTCTCTGAACTTCATTTATCCTAATTTGAGAAGTGGGGGTATTATCTCTGTTTAAACTTATTTCAAATAGGTTTATTCTGTCAGAATATTTTGTCACAAAAATATAAGTTCTTATTATATAAGTTCTTTTGGTACTTAATAGACTGAGTAATTAATTTAAATTGACTTATGAAATTATTAATTATTACTATTACAAAATTATTGATTTGGTTAAATATACAATTATTTAAAGTAAAAAGTAATGTTGCATTAATTGTCAAAATACTTAGGACTTTTGAAGACATAAAAACATAAAAATTTGATGAGGGTGTGAGCAGTAGAAAATATAATTAGAGTTTGCTCATGTAACTACATTTCTGAAAGCAGGATTAGAAAACTTTAAATGTATTTATATTAAATTAATTGAAATAACTAACATTTCTTTATATTTGACATATTTTTAATTATAATTATAGTGCTATGGCATGGTATTTTCTTCATCTGTCTAACAAGATATACATTCCATAAATGTAGTCGCTAAGACGACACTATCTTCTTCACTACATCCAACATGTTATTAAAGACTAGATAATTCAGTGAGTATGTTGTAGATTTATTTATAAGTCCACATTTTATTCTAATTTAATGAGGCTAAACAACTATTTCATATTCCTTCCAAATGAAATTCTGTTAACTTTTCTTAGATCTTTCATTTCTTTCTCTCTCAACTATATTAAATTCTTTTTTTTATTTAGATGTAATCCATATATTCAGAAACTGTAAAAGTTTTATATGATTTTTTTAAAGTCTTTTTTATTTTTATATCAACAAAATAAGAAAAAATATTTTGGGATTTTTTTTATCACTTTCTTCCATTTATAATATAAATTCCTTTAGATCATTTTTTTTTTCCTGTGTACTTCTCTTACTACTACATCCCTTAGACCTGGAAAAAATGCCTAACGTATAGTAGGCATGCATTAAATATTTATCATAAATCAAAGTATAATTTAGTTATACATACTTGAGTATTAAATATAGAGCCTTAATAAAGACTTAAACACTTTATAAATAGGAGATATTTTTCTTTACATATTCTTACATTTCTTTTTTTTCCAAATTCTGTATCATAGTATCTTTTTTTAAGTAGTTGAAAGACCAGCTGTTTATAATTTCATATATGCTATCCATGATTTTAGGTGCTAGTCAAGAAAACTGTACAATTAACTTTGTACTAAATCTGATAGTTGTATAACTTTGATGGTAATAATCTTATTTAACAAATGAAGAAGAACAGAATTTGGAGTTACCCAATGTCATATAGCTTCAGAGCTGAAGATTGTTTTCCTGTTATATTGGTTGACATAACCATCAATTTTATAAGCATGTTGTCAATTCTAAAGCAACCCTGTATAAAAATGTATTATTTTATTATGAGACTTTATGCTGATCATTTTTATATATATATATAATTTTTTTCTTTTAGTGGCTTCATCCCTGCAGATTTTTTTTTTTAAGATTCATTTATTTATTAATACAGAACTGGGGTACAAGCCAGAGGTGCTGGAGCAGTGAAAGGCATCACCAGAGACAGAGTAGGGAGCAGAACAGGCAGATCGACAAAGTACACTGCTGAGATGAGCAGCGGGTGGGTCAGGAGAGGTCTGCCCTGCCATGTGGCCTGGGATCTAACTCCTCTGAAGGGGCTGCAGCCTGCTTGCAGTGCTGGGTCTTAACTCTTTGCGCCACCAGGGAGTGTCTCTGCTGATCATTTTTAAATGGTACTTGAAACACAAGAAATTATAAACTTCATATATAGATAATGAAAAAAAGTTAAGTAGCTTTCCCTGCCACCTTAGTTTAAAATTGAAGATTTGAGACTTTACTCTCTTCCTTGTGCTTGACTAACAGTCTTTAGAAATAAAGAAAATGTGGATCATAGAAGCAAAAGAGGAAACTCAAGAATTTTATAATGTGTCACAGGCCATTTATAATTTGTTACTGTCACAAGCTGACTTCCATATATATATTATATGGTATCTTTTCTATGTTTCTATCTATAGTTTGGGTTTTTAGAAGTTTACATTTTGTAGACATTGTTTTTAACAAAGGTAATTAAAATTCATTTCCAGGAATAAATCAAAGAAACCATTTTTTTCCCCCAGGCATCCTTAAATCCTAGTGATACACCTCCTTCTATTGTAAATGAAGATTTTCTCCATGACCTTAAAAAAACTAATATTTCATATTCACAAGAAGCAATTGATCGAGTATTTAGAGCTCATGGTAAGCAACTTTATATAAGTGTCATTTATTTTTATCTTTAAACTTTCTATAATTTAAGATGGTTTTGCATTTTCTTTTTTAATCCACGAAACAGGTCATTGTCTTCATGAGATATTTTTGCTCAGGGAAGGAATGTTTCAGCGAGTTCCTGATATAGTTTTATGGCCAAGTAAGTTTTTTTTCCCTTCCTATTATTTATTTAGTATTGTAAATAAGTACATTTTAAATATATGAGTTGTAAAAATAATATAGGTACCTGTATTTTTAGTCATAGTCTTAAGTCATAGAATTTTTCTTGATCTGATCATCTTGAACCATAGGTTTTAATGATTGACTTTTACTGTTGATGATTAAGTCCTTATTTAATTTATTTTCAGATTGTTGCTAGTGAAGTATCATTACACTATGGCACTATATAAGTTTAAGTGTGCATTGATACAGATAAATGTGTATATTAAGTTCACCATTAAAAGTCCAGTTCTGGCCCTCCCTGGTGGTGCAGCGGGTTAAAGCACTGCACTAAGAAGCTTAAGCCACTTCAGCATGAGTTCGATTCCCGCCTGCCCCGGAGGAGATCCACATGGTGTGGCAGACCTCTCCTGACGCACCCACTGCTCCCCTCAGCAGTGTACTTCGTTGATCTGCCTGTTCTGCTCCCCACTCTGTCCCTGGTGAATTCTCTCACCCTCCGCATCTCTGGCCTGTACCCCAGTTCTGTATGAATAAGTAAATAATTCTTTTAAAAAAAAAAGTCCAGTTCTATCCTTCACTGGACAACTGATCCATTTTACTGGATTGAACCACTCTCCATCCTTCTTCCCTTCTGGTAACCACTAATTCAACCTTATAGTCTCAAAGTTTATTTTTATTTTATATGGGTCATTTATTTATTTCCTATGTATTTCATTTCCACATGTGAGTGAAATCATGTGGTGGTTGTCTTTCTCTATCTGACTTATTTCACTTAGCATAATACCACCCTGTACATCCATGTTGTCACAAGTGGTGGAATTTCATCTTTTTTAATAGCAGAATAGTATATACCACATCATCTTTATCCATTTATTTATTCATGAGCATTTTCATTGTTTCCAGCTGTTGGTTATTGTAAATAATGCTGCAGTGAACATGAGGATGAATATATCTCTGCAAATTGGTATTCCTTTTAAAGCAGAATTTTCAGCCATTGTGACATAGCATGAATATCTCTCTTTCATTTAGTTTGGACAAGCAGTTTAGTCACTTATACAGTGTATGTTGCTTGTAGTAAGTATGTATATAAAAATAAAGTCTTAAGAAGTAACACTTAAAAAATTACCTCACTTATTACATTTAGTAATTATGAATTTTCAGTGGTAAGTAATACAACTTTAGGCCTATGAAAATATATGCTAGTTACTTTTCTAGACTTTGAGGATAAGCAGTAAACCAATAAAAATCCCCTTCTCAGATGCCATACAATCTAATGAGGGGAAGGACAAGGACAAGACAGTAGATAAATGCACAATATATTGAGTGGGAATGAGTGCTGTAAAGAAAAATAGGAAGCTAAGGCTCCCTAATGGCACATGGGCTTAACTGTCGCCAGTATGAGTTCATCCCCAGTCAGGTAGCTAAAAACTTCATATGAAAGTTTAGAAATGGATTTTAATTAAAAATTAGAATGATATAAGTAACATTTCTATTTATTAGCAAACCTGAGAAATGTTAATTACAACATTTATAGAATGATTTTTTCTCTTATTTATATCCTTTGCATCTTTATTTTTAGGCTCTTAGCAAGTAATACTCAATTTTTATAAAGTTTCTTTGCCTCTAGTCTCTTTTTTCTATAAGCCATCAGATATTCTTCTAGGAAATTTTTCTTAAAAGCTTTTTACTATATTATTCCCCTCTTTAATGACTTATTAATAGTCACATTGAGTCTGAGCAGGTCTTAGTTGATAAAGTCTAACTGGATGTAGAAAGTTGTTACACTGATAGATTTTCCTTCAGTTCTGTATAGTAGAAGGGAATTTTTGTGCAGTATATTATGTATAATATTTTAAATTTTGTTTGAAAAACAGTAAAAATTATCAGTGGATGCAAAAATTAGTAGTGAAAGAAATATGGTGAAAATTTGACACTTACATTGTTTAAGTATCACCTCACAAAATACTTATTGATTATAATATTCTCATTGTGGAAAAGTTAGCAGATATTATGTAATCAAATAAGAAAAGCTTATTTACCAAAAATGAGACTTGTCACATCATGTGCTCCAGATGTAATGCATTGAGAAAGGCACAATATCATGTCTGTGGAATTCTGCTAAAAATGTGTAATCTGGGCATCATCAAACATTAAGCATTGTAAAACGCAAATTGAGGGACATTATATAAAATAAATGACTCGTGTTCTTGAAGGTGTCAAGATAGTAAAAATCAAATACAGGCTGAAAGAGACATGTTAACTAAATGCAGTATCTGATCCTGGTCCAGAAAAGAAGACATTGGAAAAATAATTGGTAAAATTTGAATAAGGTCTATAGATTATAGAGTTATTTTAGTATTAATTGCTTGGTTTGGATAATTGAGCTAGAGTTACATAAGATGTTAATATTTGTGGATATTGGGTGAAGGAAATTATTTTTGTAATTATTATGGTAGTAAGTATGAAATTATTTCTAAGTGAAACATCATTTGCTTTAATGTGTTAATGAATGTTTAAATTGGAGACATTTCAACACTGAATTGTTTATAAAATCTTATTTTATAGGGTTTTTATTCATGTCTACTTAATTAACTTATTTTCCCTTGTTTCAACAGCATGTCACGATGATGTAGTTAAGATTGTGAATCTAGCATGCAGATATAATCTTTGTATCATACCAATTGGTGGTAGGTGTTGTGATTTTTGAATTTTAATATGATGTAGATTTGTTTTGTTTAAAATACTTGTGTTTTAAATATTGGTGCCATCTTAATGGAAACATGAAAATTTTTTAATGATTGTATGGTTACTCTGAAAAATTGTTGTTTATTTCTTTTCAGAGTAGATCTACCTATCTGTGACATGATGCATCTTTAGTTCACTGACTTCTTTCCTTTACGGACTTTCATTAAAACTGGTATAAAGCCTCAATAAAAAAATAAGTAATATCACTTATCATTTATTAGTAATTATTTTTCAACCTTTGTTTTTATGGGGGAATATTATTTTTCAAAGGCTAGATATGCCCAATATTATAAACCTTTGAAAAGAAATGGTATGCACTGTAAAAGATAAACCAGAGGGCAATCTCAAATCAGTAATGTCTCTTAATAACACAAGCTAACATTATTTTGTATTTTAAGATAAATTTGATCTTTCATCAACCACAGTGTTTTATCAACTTATACAAGCCAAAGGAACTTACCTTCACTGACTGAATTGGCAGTGATGGGATGGAACACAATTGGGAGCTCCAGATTTCTTCTTCTGTTGATACTTACTATTGAAGTCATGCAAAAGTCACTAACACACTTTACTAAATACTTTTCTTATTTCACATGAACATGTCAAACAAATGATGGTTACCCATCACAGGCATGTTCTTTAACTGACAGTTCTTGGTGTCTCTTATTATAAAATTAAGCTAAAACTTACAGATCAATGTCTTCTATAATTCTTACTTTGAGTCAAGGTGGCTTCCACATGTTTTCTGTCCCAAACACATGGAAGTCATTAAGAGTTTAATAATACATGGTAATATAGATCTGGCTAAGAATATGAGAATACCATGTTATTCTGTAATGGTATCAAGAAAGCATTTCCCCTTGGACAACTGATGTTAACAAAAAAAGGAGTACATTGTTTACATAACCTGTACCTATTACTTATTTTAAATTAAAATCACTTTATCACCAAAAAACGTAAATTCATTTATACATATTATTTAATCTGAGAAGTTTTAACTTGCTTATATTCTAGTGGATTAAAACTTTTGAATGGGAATATACAATTATTTTACATGATAAATGCATCTCATTTATGTTAGAAAAGAAATAATGCTGTCTCTGGTTTATTGGCTGAATGGGTTTTTTTTTAATTATTGAAGCAAGTGTGTTCTCTTTTAAGTTATCTTTTTACAGTAATCATTAACTTCGAACATTTCAGTCATGTTTTTGGAGTTCTACAAACTGCTAGGGGCTTCACTTGAGTGTGCCCAGGGGATATCCCTTTGCTTTCAGCTCCATAATATTTCTTCATTTTGGCATGCAGCAAAAAAATAAAAATGAGTTTATTATTAGTGTGCCAGTAGTTACAAATAACATTTTGTAAAGTAGAAATAGGAATTTACTACTTTGCTAGTAGGTTTCTTATACTTTGTATTAGGAATCTATCCTAGAATTGTTGCTAAAAGTAAAATATTTAAGTATAATGTTGTTTTCTGTTTTGGCAGGAGGAACAAGTGTTTCATATGGCCTAATGTGTCCTGCAGATGAAACAAGAACAATTATTTCTTTGGACACTTCACAAATGGTATTTGGATATTTGATCATTTAAGATGTACTTAACAGTAGTATTCAATTTTTAAAAATTGTCTATGTCTCAGTCTTAGTTGTCATTAAAAAGGGGTATATTGTCCATTTTGTTTTACAGTTTTTTGATTTATTTTGTATTTTATCTTTGTCTTTATAGCTACAAAAGCTAAACTCATTCTTACTCTAAGGTACAGATCTTGGTGAATTCTACATAGATACTTTAAGAAGTGTGGATTGGAATGTTGGTATATAGTAGATGATCTGATTTGTATTACTGAAAAGCAAAACAGGGCCCTCCTTGGTGGTGCAGCGGGGTAAAGCACAGTATTATGAAGCTAAAGCCCCTTCAGCATAAGTTGGATTCTGGCCAGGGAGGTGATCCATATAGTGAGGCAGACCCTTCCTGACCTACCCACTGCTTTGTACTTGTCAGTTGGCCTCTTCTGCTCTGCACTCTGTCTCTGGTGAATCCTCTCACAATCCCTGCTCCTCTGACCTGTACCTCAATCCTGTATGCATAAATAAATAAATCTTAAAAAAAAAAACAATACTACTTTAGATTTATTGAATCATCAAAATTTACTTATCCTTCCCCATTCCCCCCTCCCTCTTTTAAACATAAATGTTGCATTTTTGTTTGTGAAAAATATAGGATTGATGTTTAATATTTTGGCTGATTGTGGTACAAAAGTAGGATATCGTGCCATGTTAAACATTTAATTTGGATTTGAATTTAGCTTTATATAGTCGGCAGTATTCCTGATTAGACATTCCTTCACTGACATTTTAAAAATTTGTTGATGGCTGTTGAATTTGAAATGTTTTCAACCACCACAGTTGTTCTCTACTTATATTTATTTACTTTGATTTGATTTATTTTGTATTTTATCTTTAGAGCTCCAATTTTAAGCCTATTCTTTCAGTAAAATAATTGCTAACATTTTGTCACATTGACTTTATCTTTCTTTTTTTCCCCTACTATATTTAAAGGCAAATCCTATTATGCTATATATACCTAAAGTTTCTATATATCTTTTTAAAATAGGACAGTTTCTCATATTATCCGTGCTGGGAAAATTTAAAGTAATTTCTTACATCATTCAATATCCAATCTATATTCAGAGTTTCCATCTGACTCAAAGTTTATTGTTATTTTTACATATTTTTGCTTTTTTTTTGAGGTAACATTGGTTTAAAATACTCTATGTGATTTAGAGGAGTAGGGTCATCTCCTTCAGGTATCTGTCAACACAGCATCCCCACTAAGATACCAGTAGTATTCCACCTACGTGCAGTGTGCTGCCGTGCCCCTTGCCAGTTGTCTTCCTCCATTCTGATAGTCTTAATTCTGCAGTTCAGATTTGTCGAGCTTGTTACTGGTTTGGCTTTGCCCAGTCCTTAGTTTTGGTTCTCTATATTCTACATATAAACAGCACTGTCCTGTATTTGTTTTTTTCCCTTTGATCTCCTTTGCTTAGCTTAATCCTTTCAGTTCCATATATGCTGTTGCAGATGGCAAGTTTGTCCTTGTTTATTATACCCAAGTGGTATTCCACTGTGAATATATACCACATCTTCCTAATTCACTTTTTCTCTTTGGGCACTTAGGTTATTTTCATTACTTGGCTATTATGAATAATGCTGCAGTGAACATAGGAGTGCATATATCCCTTTGAATTAGTGTTTTTACATTATTTGGGTTGCTGCCTAGTAATAGAAATTTTTTTTTTTAATAGTTATTTGTCCAAATTGGGAGTGAGACAGGGCTCATCTTCATTTTCAGTAATACTGTTTTTGGAATGTTATGAATTTGGAGAAACTAGGTTATTTTTGGTATAAAATATGTTGATTTTGGATTTGCCTTTTGCTTCTTTTCTGGTGTCACTTAACTCTAGGCTGAATATGTCCTCTAAATTACAAGTTAGATATAAAATCTGGTTTAAATTTAGATGTAGTTATAGTGTTTTAGAAGAAGACTGTCTTGCTCTATATGATGTAATTTTTGTCAAATCAGATCGGATGCATGTAATAGCTGCTTGTCTATTTTTGTCCAGCAGATTTAAGTGGTGATGACCTAATTATTCTGTTGTAGTTTCCTGTCAACTTCTGTCCTTATTCTAAAGTTTAAGAAATTGAATTTTCTTTTTAATAGCTGAAGAGGTACCCTATTCTGGAATCTCTATGAATTTCTGCTTATTACTATGTAGAAATTTATCTCTAAATGTTACTGAATGCGTAAAATAGAGACAGTAATACTGTATAAGGTTATTGTAAAAATTAAGTAATGGAAGTAAAAGTCTTACATTGGATAGAAATCTAAAATGCTATGGCAGAATTTTAAATGCCATATTTCTAGCCATTCATTTTATAAATTAAAAAAACAGGCCCTCCCTGGTGGCGCAGCGGGTTAAAGCACAGCACTGAGAAGCTAAGGCCACTTCCGCATGAGTTCGATCCCCGCCTGCCCCGGAGGTGACCACATGGCATGGCAGACCTCTCCTGACCTGCCCGCTGCTCCCCTCAGCAGTGTACTTCGTCGATCTGCCTGTTCTGCTCCCCACTCTGTCTCTGGTGAATCCTCTCACCCTCCACATCTCTGGCCTGTACCCCAGTTCTGTATGAATAAATAAATAAATCTTTAAAAAAAAAAAAAACAAAAACAGGCCCTCCCTGGTGGCGCAGCGGGTTAAAGCACAGCACTGAGAAGCTAAAGCCACTTCAGCATGAGTTCGATTCCCGCCTGCCCTGGAGATGACCACATGGCGTGGCAGACCTCTCCTGACCCGCCCGCTGCTCCCCTCAGCAGTGTACTCCATTGATCTGCCTGTTCTGCTCTCCACTCTGTCTCTGGTGAAACCTCTCGCCACCCCTGAGCCTCTGGCCTGTACCCTAGTTCTGTATGCACAAATAAATAAATCTTTAAAAAAAAAATTTAAAAAACAACAACAACAACAACAAAAAAAAACAAAAACAAAAAGCACCACATATATTTTATTGCCTTTAACACTAAACTTATAATTTACATTGGATGGCTAGAATTTATAATTGTGATTTGCATTGATGTCATTAAACTCTTTGCAGACTTTGCGCAGTGTACTTCTGATATAATATGTAGAAATATGAATGACAAGAATTAGTTTTTTTGTCTGCTTGCTACCTAAATGTATGTGTTAATACTAATGTCAGTTAACCATAAAGTTTTTTGTTTTATTGTTAACTTTTGTTAACTTTTGTATAATATATTGGAGATAATAGGGTAGCTTCTACATTTTCTTTTGTTGTCTTTCTTCATGCCCCTAAAAGTGATTTGTACGTCTGTCTCCTGCAGTTCTTTAGTTCTATCAGAAATATATTTGGACTCCAACTAGGTAGAAGATATAAAATTAGCATGAGTATGTAATTGCCTCAAGAGCCAGGCAATAGGGAGAAGATACATATGCATCATTATAAGTTAGTAATGATTAGTAAGTTCTTTTATGTTACCAGTTAGTACTTTTTCTTAGTTATCATGATACTGAAAATTGATTTTGCCATAGTTATATTGAAATTACTGTTGTCTTATTGTGAACATAACTATAATAATAGACAAGAAGAACAGTCACATATATTTAGTTTTTCTCAGCCGAATTAAGCATTGTAGTTAACTTGTATGTGCTCAGGCCGCAGAAACTACTGCTTTGATATCCTTTGTTATATTCTTTCCTTTTTACTATTAACTACACTTATCTATATTAGTTATTGCTATGAAACTGAACATATCAAATTCCAAAAAACAGGCTCTTAAAGAAGTTTCTTTGTTATTTGGTTGCTCAGCCAAGTAGAAGGGGAAACTTTTTCTTAACAGTAGAATATAACTCATGAAGATTCATATATATGAAAATAAGAATGCTGAAAGCATTTATTTTGGTAGCTATATGTGTGCAGATTGAACCAGGTGATCACTAAGTTCCTTTTTTTCAATAGAAGGCAGGGATTTATTTTGTTTTTGGAGTATCTAGTCTAATTTTAGATTGAAAATAAAGCAGGGATGCCATTTACTATATTCAAATGTGTTTGCAGATATCTTTTTCTTATCTCATGGTACCATCTTCTGACAATTCTAAATTAAATTTGATTGCTGACTATCTCAGTACTGTAGATAGTATTTGCAGAATATCAGGAACTATGTATGCTAAACTTTTATGTATAGCATTTCACTTAATCTTACAGCAACTCTGTGAGCAGATATACTAGCTACACTTTACAAATAAGGAAATACTAAGCTGACAAATAAATTTGCCTAAGGTAAGAATTAGAACTTAATTCAAATTAGTGCCTGAGTAACAAGAGAATATGTTTTAAACCAACCCCTGCACAATATACTGCGTATGTTACTTTGTTGTATAGTCATGTATAAAGGGAGATTTCTAGTGTGGGTAACCCTACTTGCTAAGTTACTAGTTTATTACTTGTTGCTTTGAATTGGAAAGCTGTATTGTCTGAGAAAATGTCATTGGTTTGTGGATTTGAGACTTCTTTCTTCTTTTGCAACAGAATAGAATCCTTTGGGTTGATGAAAACAATCTGACAGCTCATGTGGAGGCTGGCATAACAGGACAAGACTTGGAAAGACAGGTATTTTATTTATTTACTTATTTTAAAAAACTGCTTTGCATCCTCTCTCAGAATGAATGGTTTTCACAATATATTCAATGAATGAGTATTTAGTTCCTATTGTAGTCAGGCAGTGAATTAGATCCAGTGAATTAGATCAATAATAAGATACTCATGGATAGTTGTAACAGAATATAGTTATGTTAGTTACATTTATCTTAGATATGATTCAGAATGAGAATTGCTAGGCGAAGCCTAAATGTAGGATGTTAGCTTCTTCAGATGAGGGTAAGAGGGAAGGAACTGGACAAACATGGAATCACAGACATGTTAATGAAACTTAGAATACAGTAAAATGAGACTGTAGGATGAATGGGATTAGCAAACAGGAGACGGGTGAAAACAGTCTGTTGAGAGAAAGCAGGGTATACAAAAGCTGTAGAGGACAGCCTTTGCTTTTTGAGACCTGCAGATAACCGAGTATGGTTGAGATCTAGTGGATGTATATGGGAGAAAACATACTCTTGGTGTTTGTATATTGTGTAGGTATAGCTATGGTAGTGGTGAAGGATGAAACCAGAAATAATTGGAGAGGTCAGAGCTTAGAGAGCCCCTCTTTAAAAGTTTGAACTTTATTTTACCTTTATACTTAGATAGTTCTGACTACTCTGTGGCGCATGGGTGGGATATGGAAGAGTAGGTCAAGAGATTGTTGGCAGTGATTCAGTTTGGAGCTGATGGTAACCTGAAATAAGTATTAAAAATGGATCAAGATGGAACATATGGGAATACTTAATAAATGAGATCAGCTGGGTAGATGGTATTTGTTTTAGTCACTGTACTTTTCAGTGTATAATTTCTTTGAAAACTGCTTCTCTCATGAAACTCATGAAGTCCTTAGAATACATTTTTGGGAATCTAATGAGTTTCTGGTAAATGTTAGGTTCACTTGATAGATTCTAGGCAGGTAATTAATAAGATGTATTGATTTCTTCAACTTTCTCAAACATGTGCAAGATTATTGTTACTCAATTTTTGTAAACAAAATTAATTTCAGTTTGTTGGGGTGATATACTTACAAAGACTTTTCCCTCTTAACCTTTTAACAGGATATATATAGAGATGTGACTGCTTGTTGATCTTATTTCTTTGTGATGCCCCCTCTATTCTTCTTTTCCTTGGAAAGAGATGAATGAAGTTGGTATGCTTGTGGCCAATTTTGGATGAAAGCATTGAAAAAATTATTTAACTCTTTGGAATTAATGTATTAAGACACAAAAAACTGGAGTAAAATTGAACATATTTGTTGAGGGAGTGTTAAAGATCTATAGTAAGTCAAGGTTTTATATAAATCAAGGTAATGAATTAGATTTTTAATTGTAATAGTGTGTAGTGAATTTCATTGGACAGAATAATACTATTTAATGAAAAAATGTATAAACAGTCTTTTGTTACTCTTTCATTGTGTTTATTGAGGCATTATCAGTATATACAAAAGGTGGCCTTTCATGTCTTCAATTTTATGTCTTCATTACATTTGATAAGTAACCTTTCCAAGTTTTCTTTTTAAGTTAGAATTAAAACTCAAGGAACATATATCCTTGAAATTTAAATGACATTTCCCTAAACTGGGATATTTTAGTAGTTCATTTCCCTAAATGCCAATGTAGAACTTTTTTGCCTCTAGTATATTATGGTAAAATATCTGTTTTGCTCCCAGTTCAAGTTCTTCCTCATTAAATTTCCGTGTCCTTCAGTTTCTACTTCAGCTGACATGACTAGACATAAGACAGCATTTTTTCTTCTTCTAGAAGTTTTAAAATAACACAAATAATAGTAACCATAGTACAAATTGTAATCTTTTTTGTAAATTTTATTGATTTTGTTAAATGTAAAAGTTAAGGAAGGTGATAACATGTCAGTTAATTGAATTTTTTATTTTTAATCATTTTAGTTTATTAAATATTTGGCTACTTTATTTTATTTGTTGATATATGGGATGTATGACATACTCCTGGCCCCCCACTCCCATTTCCTCGTGTCTCAGTTTCTTCATCTATAAAGTAGGGATAATAATTCTATTTCATAAGGGGAACTGTCTGCTCATCCCATCTGACCATCAGAGACTTTTTACTCATAGAATTCCCGAGGCTGTTTGGACTCTTAACAGTTCACTGCTGTTCTTTTCATTTCTTCTTTTAGTTGTTATTACCATGTCTTATACTTACTGATGCAGTATTTTGCAGTATATATTCTGCTCTCAGTCCCCTTAAATACATATATATTTTTTTCAAGTATATTTTTTAATCTCAGGCATTATATTTTTTAATCTCTAAATATTTAATTTGGGTGTTTTGTATCTTCTGTGTCTCTACTGAACTCTTTGAACAGTAGAGTATGCTAATAACTTGCTATCCTTGTTACCTAATTCTAACATCTGTGTTAGTTCTGGGTTGGTTTTGATTATTCACCTCATAATTATTTTTTTCTCATTGTGGGTTGTGTTTTCCTGTCTTTTTGTGTACTTAGTAATTTTTTATTAGGTGTAAATTCACTGTGAAATTTATTGTGTCTTGGGTATTTTTTAATTTTAAAAATGCTTTTTGACTTTGTTTCTGAGGTAGTTACTTGGAAATCATTTGATCTGTTAGTTCTTGCTTTTATGATCTTTCAGGTGGGTGAGTTCAGAGCAGTATTCAGGCTGAGGCTGAGGCTAATGCTAATCAATTCCCGCTACTGAGGAATGCTTTTCCTGTTTTTTTCCAGTTAGGCATTGTTCTGACCCTCTGTGAATGCTGACACTGTCCTCTGTTTCTTTTGGATTATTCACCCTCCCTTGCCTGGGTAGTTTCCATATTCACATTTGGTTTTCAGTAGTTTGCTGACTTCCAAGGGGACAGGTCCAAGGGCAGTGCTGATTTTCATGATTTTCTTTGTGCTGCTCTCTCTCGAGGACTTTATCTTGTGAACTCTACATGCCTTGGTTTCCCACAAATCTCAAATCAGTCTCCCCAAAGCAGTGTTTTACAAGTTCTGCTTGGATTCTTTTTCCCTGTTAGATAGTTTGGAGCAGTAATCTAGGAACAATTATAGTGCTCACCTCTGCTTTCTCACAGGAATCATTTGCCTTTGTTATCTCTTTGCCTTTGTTATCTCTTTAAATGTCTTTGAAGACATTTAAAAAAATTTTTTTTAAATTAGTCCAGTAGGAGGGTAAATTAGTTCTTTTTACTTCAATTTGAATGGGGGTGGATGTCTCTGTGCTGCTTTTTACTTTTTCCATTGCACTTTTCTATTTGTTCTGTGTTAAATTAATTATGCTTTCTTACTGATTTCAGGTTCCTTCTTTCTGTCAATAATACAAGCTGTATAATTTAAACTTTGCTTTTTTTTAGTGACTTATCTGAAGCTTTACCATACAGTAGTCAGTAAATACTTGTTCTTTCAATACTGAATGAGGATACAAAAATAAACTGTTTCTTATACCCATTGAGGTTTATGACATGCAAATGAGTAGAAAAGTTATTTTATAAAAAAAGGATATTTGGTTAAGTGTAAGAATAAATATGTAAACCTTTCTTTAGCAGATATTTCTTAGTAACTAAGGGCATTAATAAAAACATGCCTTTAAGAGGCTGAACTTACATGGTTATAGATACTGTTTATTCAGCAATCATTATTATATATATATAGTATATATACTACTATAGTATGCAGATTTTCTAGCAAGAGTAAGTGACAACTCAGGTTGTTAACCATTACAGTTTCCTCACTTACCTAACAGGAAATTGTCAGATTTTAACAAAGAAGCAGACTTATACTGTTATATCATGTGGAGCTCATTTCCTGTAGGAGCTATCCTGTAGGGTTTTTGTTGTTGTTGTTTGTTTTTTGAAGTTTTCATTGTTTTATATAATTTCTGACTCATAATAGCTACTTATAATTGGAGAAGATAATGAAGTAAACTGCCAGATAGAGAGATATAGTAATAGTGTGTTTACTGTTAGAAATCCAGTTTATGTGTATTTAACGATTTGTTTCTGTATAGATAATGTGGAAATTTTATCATTAATCATTAAAGTATGTGAAAAACCCTTGTTCAGTACAGGTTATGTAAAGTGCTCCATGAATATATTTTCTTTTTCTACTCCCAATTTATGGAAAATTGAGTAACAGCACTGTTTAGAGAATAATCAATATGAATGTAGATTTTGGGGATGTTAGGGGAGAAATGTAAAATGATAGTGTGATAATCTATATTTTAACATTTTAAGCTACTTATTTTGGGGTGGCTTATAATTTTCTTAAAATTAAGTAAATACATTGAATATGTATTAAGAAGTATCTATTACATAAACAGTGATATCTTTTATAATCTTGTTTTCTTAGTAATGAAATTAGAAAAGTATAAACATGGATGACATACTCTACAATTCAACATAGCTTAACTGGATGACTATCAAAAATGTGAACACAGATTGATGGGCTTGAGTGCAATAGATAGTGGGTATGCAGATGGTAGTATCTGTACCATTTGACATGAGATGGCTGAGTCTTTAAATGATTTCTGTAGAATGGCTTTGGTGTTGTTGCAGTTAAGGGCATCTATTCAACCTCAGGTGCGGTGCAGATGGCAAAGCCAAGCTAATATAGAAAAATGAGAAACAAGTGACTATTTAATGTACAGGAATGCATGATCTGCATCACAAATAAATGATGGTATTACATGCAGGAAACCTAGCCAGATGGCTGTACATTAAAACACATGACTCCTTGAGAGAATTAAGTACAGGCAATTTGTTTGGATTTTCTGCAGGTCTGCTGCATATTATATTAGGGTAGGGAGAACAGGAGATTAAATGTTTTATTTATTAAAAGTGTTTAGGTGAAGTTAGCAGTTATTTAAGCATAATCTGATTGCTGTAAGTATTTAAATTTTCTCATTGTAGGAGAAAAATGGTAGAGTTGGATAGCTTTAAAATGAAAGGATGGAGAGAGTAAGATTGGCTAATGAACCTGTGGAAAATACATTTTTCAGCTTTGTAAGTTTTCCACCAGGAAAAGCTTAAGACATTTTTAGACAAGTATCATGAAAGAATTTTTTTTTCCATGTAGGTTTTAATGTGTTCACATACCAGTGATAAAGAAATTTTAAAGTGAGAAGAGTTAATGCGCTGAGTGCTGTGTAAAATGGAACTATTTCAGTAGTAAAATATTATATTTTTGTTTTTTAGCTTAAAGAAAGTGGTTATTGTACAGGTCATGAGCCAGATTCCCTGGAATTCAGCACTTTGGGAGGATGGGTATCAACTCGGGCATCAGGCATGAAGAAGAATATCTATGGCAATATTGAAGACCTGGTAAATTTTTTTCTAGTTATTCTATAATAGTTGATTAATATATAGGTTATTAGAGGAGTATTAAAGTTTCAAATGATTTGAGTTGGAAGGTTGAGTCCCCCCAAAGTATATCCATTTTGGTTATAGCAACATTGGTTGTGTGCACAGAAGCAGTTAAAAAGACTAACTGTGGTCATTATTTAGTGGTGCACCTTTTAAAGTCATGGATATTTAAACTTTGTATGTGTTTTTTAATAGTTGATTTGTAAAATATATAAATATAGTTCATAAACTACCAGAATTTTAGTGCGTTTACTTAGGTGAGCTCACCATTGCTCCTCTTCTGCCATAAGAGATTTGTATATATTTTTCTAAAAAAACTTTTACATATAGATTTAAAAGGCCTGATTGAAAATGTTCTATTAAGTGGCAGCATGATCTCTGGTGTTTTAGGTTTTATGATTTTGTTTATCTCATCAGGTACCAGTGGTCTGAGAGTTAATGTGATGGTAGTATAATTATGAACATCCTGTCTGTGAATTAGGTTATCATTTGTTCCATTAGTAGCTTTTTTAGTGATTGGTTCTATAACCCTGTACAAACTGATTCATCTTTCTAAACTTTAATTTCTTCATGTAAAATAGAATAATGATATCTGCAGCATAGAATTACAGGGAGTACAGGACTTAAAATGAAAACTGTTAGCAGAGTTCCCAGTGTGTAGTAGGTGTTTCATAAATGTTTACTGCCTAATTATCAATATTTTGGTATGATTTAGAAGAGCTTTGATTTATGAGACTTTCAAGTCAGATTCCTAACATTATTGGTAGGACTTTGTAGTTTTGCTTGCTTTTCAAATCTAAACTGTCAACATTTTTATCATTATCTTTGTTGCTAGAAGTACCAAATCTTCAATTGAGCAGATTGGTTACTTATAATTAGATTCCAATAATTTAAGGCTTTAAATGTCTACATTGTAAAACATTTGAAAAGTTTACTTTATCCTGTTTTTTTCAATTTAGTATATTTTAGAAAGCATGTTTTTCTTTTTGCAATTAAAATAACGTATTCAATTTTAGAGAGAATTTTGCCCTTTAGTATTGAAATATTAAGATCTTTATCAGAACTAAACAAATATTTGATAGCCTGCCACATTTAGTGCTGCTAAGGCACAAATTATAAGTATACATCTTGATGTACTTATATGTGTTTATCTAATTTTTAATGTAAAAGGACCATATTGTTTGATCTCTTTAAATTATTTTACCAATATATTAACATAATAAAGCCTTGCATTATAATTTTTAGAGTGTACAATACAGTACAACTCTTTTGGTTGCAAGGTTTTTAAAAATAACTTACTAGTAGTGAATATTTAAATTATTTTTTAATGCAGAGTTACAGAAAACAAGGTGGAAATACCCTTTTTAATAATTTATTTTAGTCCATATCTTTGTCTTCTTGGGGTAAGTTCCTGGAATTTCAATTGGTGGATCAAAATATTTATGTATTTTTAAGTCTTTGAATTGTTACAACCAAATTGCACTGTAGACATTTTGTATTAGTTGACATTCATACAGCACTATGAGAATCTTTATTTTACTGGACATTTTATTTATAATTTTGAATTCCTATATTTCTTTAATTGCTAGTGAATATATACTTTTTAAATGTCCATATTTGTAAATTTTATTTCTTGAATAAATATTTTTAATTGCTTGTTGATGTCCTCTTCTCATTTCTATCAAGAGTAAATAATAAGTATTAATTTACAAGAGTAAATTAATAGGTATTAGGACCTATTAATAGTAATATCTATTATTAATAAGAAAAATAAAACTTAACCTATCAAAAATATTTCTAAAGATGTATTGGATTTTTACTTAACCATTTCTGATTCCAATCTCAGGAACTATTTTTTGGATAATGTTTTCCCCTCAAAATACTTATTTTCTCACTTGTGTGAGACATAACTCACATACTTAATCACTGTATCTCCCTCTTCATCCCAGTTTTGACTTGATCATAATTAATATTCTACAACTAAGTGGGCAAAGTAGATAATTTGAACATGGGAAAAAGGTGAGGATAAAATTTTTTTTTTATGCTTCTAAGGATTGAGAGAACTATTTGACATGAATAATAGTGTTTTATAAATATTAATATTTAAATAAATGAAAGAATAAACCAATTAAAATATGATCATTTCTCATTTTTTAGTTCCTTGCCACTTGTGTAACCCTACACTAGATTTCTTTTAAAGAAATTTGTTTTTCATTACCTAAATTAGTAATAATTTTAGAATGATTTTTCTATCTTTTAAAAAGTTATATAGCATTTATTTTTAGCTTAGAAATTACTAAAAGTTATCTAAAGGATATTCATTTATCATGAAATATTTTCAAAGTAGTGTTTTATATAAATAGGAATGGAGGTGTGTACATACACCCACACCATTCACTGACAAATGTCTAGACTTTATATCATGCATTGTATTAAACAGGTGGTTCATATAAAAATGGTAACACCTCGAGGCATAATTGAAAAAAGCAGTCAAGGACCTCGTATGTCAACAGGGCCTGATATCCATCACTTCATCATGGGATCTGAAGGTAAATATAGCTGCAAATTTATTATGAAAAAATAAGGGTTAGTGGTTGAGTTTTGTGAAAATCTGTGATATTGTAATATTAGATCTTTGAAAGACATGTTTTATTTATTTAAGGAATGATGATTTTTTATAAATTTTATTACTTTAATTTAGTATTACATAAAACTTTATTATGAGAACATCTTATTAAAAGTCCTCTTACATTTTGCTTTTTATAGTTTAAAAGACAGCTGGTCTTCTTGGTTTTATTTTATTTTTCTTTTATAGATTTTTTAATCAATAATTTTAGGAATAGTTTTAAGAATTTAAAATGCTTGCTTTAATATTTTGTACTTTTCTTTAATCTTATCTGATTATCAGAGGGAAAGAACTAATAAAGTTTTGTGTTAGAGTCTTTTCTTTCATATAATTACCCAGTATTTAATTTTTTTATGAAGTGGAACTCAACATTCTGTTGATTCACTACCAAGATTATCTTTTAAGACTTATGTTGGTCTTTTTATATTTTCACTACTTAAGGAGTATTCTTTGCTTGGTTAGTTAGTATTGAGCAGATTAGAACTAAATCTCCTACCCAGAGCATTTAAAAACTTTTTTCTAATAAATATTATATAGCCACGGTGTATTGTATATATACGGTAATTATGGGTTATTTTTCAATTTTGAGAATGTTGGAAAGGGATACTCTCCAAACTCAGAGAAATAAGTGCTTCCACAGTAGCAGAGGAACTTCCTTTACTAACTTCAGAGGGTGGTATAAACTGGGGGGGGGGGGGAGATTCTAGAAATGTTTAACTATATTTATGAAAAAATAAAAAGCAATTATAATAAATAACATGTTAGTGTGTAATTTTTTAACCTAAGAATAGGTGTTGCTTTGGTGGTGACATCAAGGGATAAAAATAACTATGTCTCTTAGTGACATGCTGGAGATTAACTACTGAGTTGATAGCCAGCTCTTGAGTTGATGACCAGGGGTATTACTTGGATCTTTCTCATGACAATGACAAACTTTTTTAATATATCTTAAGAGTTTACTTTCTTATTACTTTTCAATCAGTACATTCTTTTGTGGAAATACAGAACTATATTATTAATAAGAAAAATAAAATGTTACCTTTCTTTAGAATACTACAATTCTCTAGTAAATATTATGAAACTTGTACTAATGTATCATAAGAAAAAACTTTTGGTGTTCAAATGACATTTGAATAACAAATAGGCATTAAAATGGTAATTATTAATTATACTATTAATGAATACCTAGTTGTAGTGAACTCTGTAACTGTTTTCTTTTCAAGTAACCACATTAGCATTTTAAAATTCTGGTTGTTAACTCATTCAAGGACACAGATAGTAACAGACCATTATAATACAGTGTGATGAATTCTATACTAGAAATAAACGTAGGGGGAGACATAGACCAGGGTCATGTTGATGGACGCTTATGAAGACTTCTCAGAGAGGTCATGCTAACATGGTCTTGAAGGTTGTTAAGGAGAAAACAATTCCTGGAAGAAATTGGGACTAAAGTGGGGAAGGAATCTCCCTGCAGAGAATAATATGTAGACAGCCTTAGAAGTGAGGAAGTTTTCCTGGTTACCTGCCAGTTTTACTGGAACATTTCTTTTAATTATATACAGAGTGGGCAACAGCAAATCAAGGGCAGTGATAAGGGCTTTAGGGTCGCTGGAGAAAAAGTTTCATCTTTTATGCCTTTAAAATAATTTGAATTTTATCTAAAAGGTTAGACGTTGTCTCTCATTAGTAAATTATTCTATGAGTTTGAGGAAGACAAATTCATTATAAAATAAGCAATATGATTAATAAATATATTTTGGGTACTTACTATATTTAAATACGATTTTATAATAAATATGCATGCAAACTACCATAATGATTTAAGAGCATTCGCCCTGAAGTCTGTCATATCTGGATTTCAGTCTTGTTTCCATTACTGGCATTTCTATGACTTAATCTATGTATAATTTAATCCTCTATATGTAGTATCCTCATGTATAAAGTAGGAGCAATTAAGAATATCCATCTTCATAAACATTTTGTGATGATTAAATGAGATTATGCTAAACAGTTTATGAGCATGTAGTATGTACTTAACAAATGTTGATGTATTACTCTTACATTAACATTTTATTATTTTGGCATCACTGATCATTACAAGATTATTTATGATCTCTAGTCCTGCATGTACATGGATATAGAATCACAAAATCAGATGATAGCAAGTTGATAAAGTTTATATGAAGTCATAATTCTGTCATAAATATATATTTTTTATCTGCTATTTATGAACTATCTAAATGATTTTTTGTTTTAAATGTGAAAAATTTTACCCAAGCTTTAAAAATATTTTCTTCTAGGTAAACTACTTGATGACAACCTTGAAAACATTTAAAAAATCATCTCCCCTATTCTACCAAGTTCCCCATGTGTCTAACCATATTAAGTTTCATGGTTTTGTCTTGTCTTAGGAATTTTTCATAATTTTTTCAACAAGCAGCTTCCTTGCATTTTAGATGCTGTAATGTAATTACCATAATGAAAATTATGATAGTCAAAGCACTTGAAATGCTTTACATTTTTTCCTACGTGCAGTTTATTAGTAGTAGTAGTACATTTAAAATGATTTGTTCTTCTATTTGAAAACAGAAAAAGTAGGTTTTTATTTTTTAACTCATTTCTGAGTCAAGTCTGTAATTTTTCATATTCCCAAATAATTGTTTTACAAATTTTAATTCATTTTTCTTAGAATCATGGTTGGTCTTTGCAGGGAAACTTCATCAAGATTTGATTTAATTTATAATTTCTAGCGTGCAACTAATCTATGACAAAGGAGTAAAAAACAAGATTTGATTTGTATTTTCTGGCTTCATAGTAGTTTTTTTGGTCTGTTATCTTTTTTGTTCCTATGTATTATTTGGAATGGGGTCCTACTATGAGAGCCCTTTTGTCACTGTTCTTTTTTATGGGTGGTGATGATTTGGTGGGGGAGAAGATATGACATTGTTATTTCTCTTTATCCAAAAAGATCTCTAGCTGCCCCTATTTATTTCATTTTTCCCTTCACTGCTTCGTCTCCAAAGAGTAATGCACATCATTAAATATGATGCTCCCTTGACGATAATCCCTTTGTGCCTATAAGCCATTTCTGGTTCCTGTCATTTTCAAACCCCTCCTACATAGCCACAGCTCTGGGTTACCAAGTCCTTACTGTATTTTTGCATTTCTTTGCACTTTTTCTTTTTAGGGTTAATTTTGTCACCTTTCTCCAAGTCTGCTACCCTTTATTTTTTCTTATGTTGCCTTTTAAGCCTCCCCTGTTCACTTTCTGCCCTTAAAAGCTGCAACAGTGGAAGACTGTATATCTGTTGGAATATTTTCTTTTTATTTCTACTTATAGTTAACTTAAGGTTCATAATGTTTTCTGTCTCCTAACAATACTGAAAGCATAGGTCCTATGTGATACTGATTTTCACATTTTTTTCTTTAGTGGGAACAGTAGAGGGGGAAGATTTGCAATCATATGATTCTCATTTTTCTCAGTCCTATCACCTGAAAGTGTATATATTCAGATTATGAAAGATTTTATTTACTTCAAGCAAATACTTGCATTTTATATTAAATAGCAATTAAAACTTTCAGTTTTCTTAAGAACATTTAAAGTTTATGAAACAAAATTCTGAAATTTATTGTGGTTTTTTTATTAAAACAAAGAAAAGTGAATATATTATTCTTTATGATATCACATTGCCATGGAGTTACTTATAAACAATTACATATGGTATATATAAAATATTGGTGTAGTATGTAGATAATCAAGTGACTAAGTAATTTTATATCACTCTATCCATATAATATTCCCAGGGCAAAAGAGTCAATAGGTAATCAATAAAAATGGGCCTTTTGGTAAATTTGGATATATCCTTTTGTAATTGGCCTATTTTGAATTTAGGTCTGATATTTTAAGTGGCTTCATTTCTTAGGTGTAAGGTAATAATTTCAGTACTACCAGGGATGTCTAAAAATATTGAAAAGAAAAATGTTGTAAAGAACAGAAGTAAAGCTAGTATAAAGCTAGTATCAGTAAAGTAGAAGGAAAATTAGCAACTTTAAAAATTAAGGTGATAGAAGTTGTCTTAGATGTGATAGATAATTCTATGTTACTGGAAGGAGCAAGGGCAATTGGGGCCCCAGAAACTCAAAGTAGAACTTCTGTCCCACAAGTTAAAGCTGGGTGTGAGAAGTGAGACTCCTTCACCCCCGCCTCCCAATCCCCACCGCCTGCTCCCACTTCTCCAACTGCATGAAAATTAAGCCTCAGAAAAAGATAATGAGGGCAATGTATTAATGGGATACAATCAAAGGTTGTTCTGAAATTAAGAAAAGATATATCTAAGAGAAAGGATAACACATGTCCGCACAAATATTTCTACCTATAGAGGTAGAACTCTATAGAATTTTCACCCCACCCCTTCCAGGAAGGAAAAAGAGCTGGATATTGAATTAATCACCAGGTTTAATGGGTCATACCCAAGTAATTAGTTCTCTTCTCCTGAAAAAGAAAAAAAAATTGCTAAAATATGGGCATCAGAGATTTCAGGTTGATGAACGAATGAATGGAGGTACTAGGAAGGTGATGTAGTTTGAGAGGGCATAAAGCTCAGCTCCTCTCTCACTGTACTTTGCCCTAGGCATCTTTGTTATCTTGCTGTTTTGGAGTTGTATTATTTTATAATAAACTGATAATAAAAATAGAAAAAAACCAATGTTTACCAAGTGATAAATGAGTAAAATGAGTTGTACTATACAATGTAATAATATTCACTAATTAAAAAGAAATAAAGTATTAATATGTACTACAACATGGATGACTTTTGAAAGAAAATCTTAAGTGAATGGAAGCCAGTCACAAAAGCCACTTACGTAAGATTCCATTTGTATCAAATGTCCAGTACAGACAAAAATCTATACTGGTGGTTGCCAATGACTGAGGTGTGTGTACATGTAGGGTATTGGGGTCTGTGGGGGATGACTTTCCTGGGTATTGGGTTTCTTTTTTAAAGTGATACACAAAGTCTTCTAAACTTAGAGGGCCATGAGTTGCACCATCTGTGATTCTATTGAAAACATTAAGGTCTATACTTTAAGTGCATGGAATTTGTTATCTGTCTTATACCTCAATAAAAGTGAAAATCACTTTTGCTATCTTTTAAATTTACCAGATATTTCTTTTTACGAGTCAAGCCAACCCTGCAGATTATACAAATCATAATATGGTTACATTTGCTATCAGTAGGAAATCATTTTTATATGTGATAAGCATATTGTGTACTAATGTAATATGGCTTACCTGTTAGTACTTAGAGTAGTTTTAAATATTTTGTTATTATAGATATATTATAAATATATTGGAAACTTTTATTTTTAAGATTTATTTATTTATGCATACAGAACTGGGGTACATGCCTGAGGTGAAGGGATGCAACAGAGACAGCAGGGAGTAGAACGGGCAGATCGATGAAGTACACTGCTGAGGGGAGCAGAGGGCTGGTCAAGGGAGGTCTGTCATGCCATGTGGATCACCTCCGGGGTGGGAATCAAACTTGCTCTGAAGCAGCTGGCTCGCTTGCAGTGCTGAGCTTTAACCCACTGCGCCACCAGGGAGGGCCCAGAAAACTTTTATTTTTATACTTTCATTTCTAGTGTTGTGATTAATTTCCCTAACTTAAATTATTTCCCTCTTTGCTTTTTTATGGTGCTCAGAATATTTAGTAATAGCATTAGTAATTTCTACCATTTTTACATCCGATACCACTAATTTGAAAAACTTGATTTTATGAATGTAATAGTTTTTAACCTTGTCTCTTCAAATATTTTAGTGTATATTTTTAGATTGTGTATCTATATTTAATTTGTTTTTATGCCCCCTTTTTGATTTGTTCCCTACTTCTTCATGTCACGAAGAAATAACATTTGTTTCATTGGTGGTTTTCTTATGCCAAATAGTTCTTGATAACTATTTTGTCTCTGAATTATGTATGTTTGTTTCTTACAAGGACATGTCAGTATTGCCACTGTCTTTTCTTTGTATGAATTTGTAGGCGCATAAGCAAGATAGTATTCCCTCTAATTTCTTCTGTCATCATAAGTTCTCAAAGAAAATTAGGTCCTTTTTGACCCCAAAAATTAACCTTGCAGCAAAAATAAGCACAGATACCAAACTATACTTCTGTCTGAAATCATATGATATTCAAAATTGGTTGTTTTTCATAACTTTCTTTCACTAAGTTGTAATATTTTAAAAATTATTTATAACTAATTGGAGAATGGTTGCCTTAAAATGCTTTCAAATATTGATACATAACTTTAAAAAATGTAATCCAAAAGCATTTTTTAGAAGCTATAAAATTTGCTTAGTTGCTTTTCTAAAAAGACTTGAATAGTGATCATTCCCCATATAGAATAGATTAAATAGATTTTGATATGAATAATGGAATAAATTAATTGAATAAATAGATAAAATAGATTTAAATATGATTTAGAAAATTGGCATGTGATATATTGGATTATTCCCCCTTCTTTTTCAGGAACTCTTGGTGTGATAACAGAAGCTACAATAAAAATCAGACCAATCCCTGAATACCAAAAGTATGGCTCAGTAGCTTTCCCTAATTTTGAACAAGGAGTAGCCTGTTTAAGAGAAATTGCAAAACAGGTAAAAAAAAAAAAACCCAACCCCTATATATATATTTATATTTTAAAAATTCTACTGCATAGTTGATTGTGGTATGTCACATATAGTCTTCATATTTAGTTGTTAACATTCATGTGGTTTTTACCCAGTTCTATATGAAGAGGTAATGTTGTAAAATCATCCCTTTAAATACAGTTGTTATTTATTTTCAGTAATTATTTCTTGGTGTGCTATATGATTTAATCCAAGGTAAGATAACATACTTGGGTTGATGGCTTCCAGTGATTCTGCCATTTGTTGAATGCTATGTTTAGTTGTTCTGGCTAAGGTATTTTGTGATTCATAGAAGTAATACTTAATTTTTTTTAACACATTTATTGAAATTAAAAGAAATGGCTTACTACCAGTGTCCCCAGGAGTACAGAAAGTAAATATAGGTAATTAAACTTTATCAACACTTAGAATATGTTGGTATTAGAACCTACTTTTTAACATAATGTTATCTAAGCAGTAGCTTAAATTTAAGAAATAATAACATAGTGTAATGTATTTGGTTATAAGCTAAAAATAATTCCCATTTTCTCCTTCTTTCTTAAAATATATCAAGTTTTAAAAGGACACATAATGCCAAGTAATTTTATTTCTATCACTGTGGAAATTCTTGCATTTCTTTAGGCATTTGGTTGTTTGAACTAAAAGGGTTTGTGAAAAATTCTTATTTTAACATTTCCTAGGAGGAAGGATGCCAAGGGAATATACTCCAGTACTTTCTGATTGCTTTCCTCAAAATCCCAGAGTTCTTTACTACTTTTCTTGAGTTACATACCTAACTAGAATCCTGAAGGCAAGAGAGTTTTCTAAAATGATCCATAGAGATCAACTTCCCAGTGTAGAGAACAGAATGAAGGAAGGATCAGAAAACTATCTAGCTAGTACTTCATGTACATGCGGACTCTGCAAGGTACTCAAATGCAAAGTGGACAAGTCTTACTTTCCTACCTTTCCCACTTCCTATTAATAGTATATAACCACTGATAGTATTTTAAATAAGTTTAAAATGAACAAAAATGTCTGTACTTAACATTTTCATTGTTCTTTGAAAGTGTTTTGAGACACTCATTCTGTTTAATAGTTTTCCACTTCCTGGCAGTCCAGCTATCTGATCAACAGTCTAACAATTTTCATAATTATCCTTAATTGCATTGTCTTCCCCATTAAATCAGTGACCCCAGGATCTTGATTGTCTTACTCCTCCTGAATGAAGGGAGGGTTTTAAAAGTGTAGTCCTGGAACGAAGATTCTTGAACTTGGTCAGGTTACTTTGGTAGTGTTAAGGCAAAAGTGCATGTCAGCAGTTAAAACCCATATATAAGCACCCCTATTTCACTAGAACTTTAGGGATATTATGTAATGGTTAGAGGGTTAAGTATTCAGTATTATACTCTTTGCTAAAATGATGCAATGACAATAATATTTAAAAATACAATGGTAAAGTAGAGGAGTACAGATTAGCTTTAACTTTATGCTGACATCATGTTTGAGCATTGAGCAGTAAGGTTCAAGTGTGTTTTGATTCTTGTTGCTAAAATCTTCCATTACTTAAAAATCAAGAAATCTTCGAATTTAAGTTACCTCAGGTATTAAAAAGTAGAACTACTTCCAGAGCTTTGTGGTTTTGCCTGTGAGTTGTATCTAAAAGAATAGAAAACTAGGGTTTTTTTAAATTTATTTTTTAAGGAAATGGTAAGTTCACCAATTAAAAATCAAAGCAAAATAAAAAATTTTCTCTAGATAGATTATATTTTCTTAATTCTAGATTGATTTTTTTTCTCATTTATTTTGTATTGTAGTTTATTCTTTATGTAAGTACTTTTGTTTTTATTTACTTTCAAGCTTCACTTAGCTCCAAAAAAATAGCTACATTAAAGATAGAGTTCTTATTATCTCTCTTAAGTTTTGAGTGCTGTCTTTTTAACTGACCATGATCCCCTCCATTTTTATGGCAAAATAAACATGAATGCCAATTTAGATTTTTATGGGTGTTTTATAAAACTAGCCTGATAATTTATATATTTTTAACAAAGGATCTCATTGAAGTCATGTTAAGTCTGTGTTGGCAGCCCTGCCCCTCCACATTATTTTCACTCTGTGGAACATATATTGGATAGAGTTATTTAAAAGTTTAAGATCACTGGAATAGAGGTAGACAAATTTGTGCTTTTCTAATTGTGCCATTTTCCCCTTACCCCCCATGTTGCAGTTACGCACATTTGAATATATGTTGGTTTTAATTAATGAGAAGTTATGTAAAAATGTATCAAAATCCTATGCTTATGATTTCATTAAAATAAAAATGTAATAGTTGGTACAATATGATGCCATTTTTGTTGCAGTTGAATATGTCCCTGAGGGAAAGTAACTGAAAAGAGCTACGGTGTTAGTGAAAAGTAGAATGTGAAATTTTCCTTCATCTTTACATAAGTCAGTGAAAATTGCCCTTTTATTTTATTATTTTTTTAATTCTTTGGATATTTTCCTAATGACCATAATCTAAATTCACTATAAAAAAATATATTGGATATATATCTTGAAAAACGTTGAGTAGAGCCACCCGGTGGTTAAAAAGCACATCAGAAAAAGAGCACCTTTCTGATCTACCATCTTGATGATTCAGTTCTATATGTTTAGTAATATGTAATTTTTTTTTAGCAATATAATTTTTAAAGATATAAATACCATTTGACTAGAAAACTTGCCTTATTTGATGAAAAAAGACTAGGTAGATAATATTTTATTATCAAATACCGTACTGATAAGTAAAATAATTGTTAAGAATACTTAGTGGAGAAAAAAGAATACTTTATGGGATTTGGAGATATTCCTCTATTTTAGGAGAATCTACATATTTTACTCACATACTACACATGTAAAGAGTGATTTACTCACATACTACACATGTAAAGAGGGATTCTCTAAAAGTGAGTTAATGTTAGCATTACTTCTTAGGGATATTTATATTAATAGTTTTCAGATTGTAAAATTCTCATGTGTTAGGAATGATACACTTCACAGTAGTATTCTTAGTCAGAAAAATTGAGAAAATTACTAGGTTTTGGCATTGGTCATTGTTCAATTTGTGGCTTGGAATTTCAACTGAAAGCAGGAGAATTAAAATCCATTAAAATAGATGGTACATGGTTTATGAATGTGCCAAATTCTTGATTGAATAATGAGTTGACTACTTGTAATTCCTCACTGTCATTTCATAGCACTTCCATTTTTGCAATATTTTCAGAGTCAAGTTGCTTTTGAAGTGGGAAACTGTATTTTGGATGAGTATCTTTTGGAAAGGAGCATACGTGATTGTTCACAAGTAGCAAATTGAGCTCTCTATATTTTCATCACTGTTCTTACTGAAGGAAATAAATTAAGCAACCTTATACGGGCAGCAGAAGGATTCTACTAAGGTCTCTCATCTGATCTTTGTCCATGTGAGGAATTGTCCTTTTTCAATACTTCACTGCCTTGTGAGGAACTAGAAAGGAAGATTTAGTAGAAGATTAATGTGATTCTATCTCATAAGTGGCAGTCCAGTGTAATCTCCAACTTTATTCAATAGATGGTAAGTGACTTTTAAGCCTTTCTCAGAAAATAGATTTCCTACTGTGACCTCTCAAGAAGAGAAAGATAGTATTTTTAATTAGAATGTCAGTGGCAGATGTAATTTTCTATTCTCTTTTATTTCTAAACAGAAATGACAATGATGTGTTTGCAAAGTTTGAAAGGAAACTGAGTTTTGAGACAAATTCAAAAGCAAATTTTGAGATATGGTAATCCCTATGATATTGAAAGAGGACCATTTACTCCAGTATCAGGAAAAACTAATCCTATGTGTGCTCAGATTGGTGTGCATTTCTCTGGACATTGTACTTTTCAGAATTAGAATTAGGCTTTTATAATTACTGATTAAAAGGCAGCTTTTCCTTCGTATCACCATTCAAAAATCTGTTTACCGCCCATTTTTATTAAAAAAATTTTAAACGAACAGGTTGGGTTTTTTCCTTAATGAATTTAAGCCCAGGAAATGGGGAGAAAGGCATACTTCACATCGGACATCTCACAGAATTAGCCTCAATTCTAAATGGTTGTTTTAAATTTGTTTTCTTCTTAAGGCATTCAGATAAGTTGAAAGAAGTTAGGTTTAGGATTAGTGTATGTGTGTGCCATGTTTTTCTCCCTCTGAAGTAGACCCTTAACAACTATTGGGTAAATTGGACTCTTACTGTGTGATCCAACAAAATGCTCTCAACTGGGAGCTACTTAGAACATTTCACTTTTTCTACTATGAAAAATGTAAAGTTGTGACTAGGAAATTATTTAGTATTAACTTTTGCCTCTTTAATATAAGGGAGGGAAATTTCATTCTTTAAAAAAACCATGAAGTAATTATTTTTAAAAATTCTTGCTTACAATATAGACTCTTAGTGATTAGTCAGTACATTAATTTCAGTATGACTAACCTTAATTCCAGTGCTTTAAATATTCTGTGATTTCAGCTGTTATTTATTAGAAGAAGTAATTATCAGTCGTCAACATTTTTAAGTTTTTATATCTAGAAATTTGCATTTAGTGTTAATACTCTTGTTCACAATCACAAATCCTTTTTAAAATTTTGAGGTTTTTTTGTGTGTGTATGTGTGTGTGAGAAAGTGTATTCTTAACTTTATAGCCAGCATATCCATAGGGCAATGGATATGGTATGAGTTAAATAGACATAATTTCTTTCCTCACCATGTTCATATCTATATTTAAATTTTTATAGTTATGCACAGGTTGTTTGGTGTTGAGCTGTTAGCTTCTGATACAGCATGAAATTCAGTAGACTATCCCCACAAGTAGTCTCCAGATTCAGGAACTGGGTCTATTTTATAGTCTACACAGAAAGTTTGATTTACTCCTCCTTGAGGCAAATTTCAATTCAAAGATGATTCATCCCTTAGCCAGGCACCAGAAAAGACTACCGTTCAGTGTTTACATTTAATAGTTTATCCTTATGAATCGCAGATATGTTGCAGACATTTAAAACTGTTAATATTGAAATTCTTTGCCAGTAAAACTAATTAATTCAAAGATCATAAATAATGTGCTTCAGCTGAAATGGCAAGTTCACTTTTCTCTTTGATAGAAAAGTAACAGACTTCTATAAAATCAAGTTTTTTAGAAATCTTTTGATGTGTTTCTTGTAGGGACTAATTTTTGGATAAAATGATTGGGTTGAGAAATAGGTTGCTTTTCAGTGTGTGCAGAGAACTCTACTATGTAACCAAGACAAGTGAGAGTGTTTGGTTTGTATTTTTTAGGTTCTAAATTCCTAGTTGCTTGGCATCATTAATGGGAAGAAATTGCTAGAAATTTTACTTACTCTTACCTTTGTGTCTTGAGGTTAACATAGTTATTTCTTCAGATATAATGAATGGTATATTCTTCATTAGTCCGTGAGTTTCAAGCTAAGTATAAACTCTACTTAGATACTAGGTGATATGAGAAATTACAGTAACACCACATTTCTCACAGGCAATAAATCAGTTATTTTATTAACTCCAGCTTGAATAAGCAGTTTTGTTTGAGCATTCCTTACATTGCCTAATTTAGTCATTAATCCACCACTAACATTACTTAGTAAAAATATCCTCTCCTGGTTAGTTCTGATCACCCGCCACTAGAGGTCACTGTAACTCAAGGGCCCTTCCACCTCTTCCCTTGTCTGTGGAATACTGTTCAGCTATAGCACAATTGAATATCTTGGGGTGAATTTAGAACTCTTGTTTTCAGAATTTATGAAGCCTTTCACTTACAGAGAAAACCTTTTGAGTTTCTTTTAACTTACCAGTTAGCTTTATAGCAACTGAAATATAATCTAATCATCACTATAGATATAATAACCAAATTGAATGTTGTTAGTGCTTTTGTTAATATTTTTCACTGCATAAAATTTTAATAATTTTTTATTGCATTAACATAGGTTTATTTATATTTTAGAAGTGTAAGATCTCCTTTTAAGACTACTAGTAGTAATCTGTCTTCTTTTTATTATAGGCTCTTCTGTATTCTTTGTAGTGACTGCTTTTAATTTAAAGTTATAAGGAATTTCCTGCTTTGTATTTTTAGAATAATGCACGATGATTGCCAGACGATTGTAAACCAATCTAAATGCTGTTTTTTTAAATTTTGAATGCTTTACTTATGAGGGTTTATTTGTGATAACTGAAAAACCCCATTTACTGACTTTTAAAAAATAGTATTTTTTAAACATGAGACTAAAAGCTGTTGATTTGATTTTGTTAATTTGTAAAATGCCATTGTTGAAAGTTAATATAAAAATAATTTCTTAGCTACTTCTTCCTTTAGTATTGTTATCTACCTTGCTTTTAGATAAATAGGAACAGTAGATAACTAACCAGTTTATGTGACTAAGCTGTCAAGTTAGGATCATGGTCACTGTAATAATATTGGTGGTTATATGTTTGTTGCAAATACCCTAAGAGTCCTAAAAGCTAACTTAACTGTTTTTTTCCAACCCTTTAATTTGAAAGTTTTAAGCATACAGAAATGAAGAGTACACTGATCCCCAGTATATCTGTCTTGTATGTTCAATAATTATTATTCAGTAATTATTAAATTCAATAATTTTGTTTTGTTCTACATGTTCATGGATGTCTTTTCTGAACCATTTGAGATTAGGTTGGAGGTATTATGACACTTGACCTGTAAATACTTTAGCACATAGCTCCTTAAGAAGCATTTCTTTATGACCACAGTGCCATTACCTTATCTCTAGACTGGCAGTAATTTTTAATGCCATCTAATATTCTTTCTAAAATCAAAGTATTCCAATTTGATACAAGATACAGATTGTGGATAGTCTTTTCAAAACAAGGTTTTATTCAGTCCTATGTAGTATCTTCTAGTTGTTTCAGATACTAAAAATTTACTATAGATGTCATATACTTTCAGATATATGTGCTTATGCTGATTGTTTTCATTAATAACACTTCTGTATACTGTATGTACAGGTGAAGTTGAATCTGGTGTCAGTTTGAGATGTAATTTATAAGTCATTGGTAGGAATTTAAAGGTTTTTTTCCTAGTAATGAGAGCATGACTGAATTTTCTCGTATTTTACTGGTGTATTTAAGCCTAAACATATAAGTGGTTGTATAATGTGATACTCCTTATTTTATGAAGAAAAGAAACTTATTCTAACCAGCCATCATGTTTTATTATGTTTATGTGCTTATTTTAAATAACAAAAATGTTTCCATAAAAATTATTTCCTTTTGTGTTTTGGAAGCTGGTAACACTTTTAGCATTAACCCAACTTACATAACTTTAGCTTGATACATTTGAAATATATCAGGTTGTAGTTTTTTATTTTATAACTATTTTACTTTTAATAAGAACACAAAACTACAAATAGTTTCAACATAATTTTTTTTCACATATGGCTTGCGAGTTCTGTGTGTTTGTGTGTGTGTGGGTAGGTATATGCAGGTTCATGTTTTAAGTGATTTTTGAAAAGACTGTTATGTATATGAAATGCTGTTCTTCTAACAATCAGGGTATCTTGGTGTTAGTTCTGTCTTTACCATGTAATAGTCATCTGAGCTCAAACAGGAGAAGGTTCATGTGTCCCCCTCCCTAAATTGGGACGATACCATTCTGCTACTGTGATAGGATTATTTCTTATGTTAAATAATGACATATGAAAGCACTCAGAAACCATAGAATTCTATAAAATATAGGACAGTAATATATGGGACAGAATATAGGTTACTGTTATATTTATATAAATTTACTGAATAATGCTTCTTTAGATTTGGCAGTGACTTTTTTTAAATAGTGGTTGAATTACCTTACCTTTACGAAGTATCAAGGTGAGTGAATTAATTACAGTCCTCAAAATAAGAATCTACTCATTTTAATGGGTGAAATAAAATTGTATTATGAGTGGCTTTATAGAATTAAATATTTTGTTCAATTAAAACAAGTAATTACAAACTTTTAATGTGTTTATAGTGTGCATTAAGTTTTGTTCTTGAGTGATTTTCATAAATCTGGCTACTGATAGGATTTTTTTATGATAAATGTTATTAGAAGATAATTGTTTAAAAAAGTTAACGACATTCTTGGTCTGAACGCATCATCATGATAGATGTTTAACCTTTTTAAAAATTTGTTTAGAAAATAAAAGCCCCATGTACGTTGCAGCTCATTTTAATTCTATAAAGAAAATATAGCCTACTTAAGACTTGCTACTGTTTGTATTGTTAATCTTCACAAAATTAATGTGAATATTTGCTTTCTTTGTTTTAACTTCCTTGCATCTTTTAGGGTTTGCATACATACATCAAAAAATCTTAGAAGGTCTTAGCACTGTGGACACTGATACTTTTTCTATTTAAAAATGGATTATAAGTGGGATGAAAATAAAGAACAAGTCCTGCAGTTAGCTATGAAAATATTGCAGATAATTTTTTGAAGTTCTTGGTCTAACAAAGTTTCTACTGTTCTTCCTCATTTAAAAAATGTAAAAGATCCTGATAACACATTGTAGTTTATCATGGCTTAATGCATTAGGCACTGATTTCAGTCTCTACAGTTTCTACCTTGTTAAAAAATAGTGTACTTTGAAATGTAGTATTTCTTCTAGGTTATTTCCACAGGTTTTTGTTTGGGATTAAGTAGATCTTTTTGCAGATTAGAACTCTCACTGTATGAATGTAGTATGAATATAAAATTCTCTTTTCCAAGTATTTTATAAATACCAGTGATGTTTTCTTTTCATAAAAGTATATAAAGTTAACATTTTCCCTGTATATCTATGTAGGAATTAAGCTCTTGATCTCAAATATAGAAAGAAAAAATTCATTTTCTACCTGTCTAGCTGCTTTACTATATTGTCTTTTTTTTGTTTTGTTTTGAACAGAGATGTGCTCCTGCATCTGTTCGCCTAATGGACAACCAGCAGTTTCAGTTTGGTGAGTGAGGAGAATTTAGAATTTACTCATTAAACCATAAAATTTGATGAAATACCAATAATATGCCAAGGGAAGTACTGAGTATAGAGCTAGAATGGTGAATGATGAATGTCATGGTACCTGGAATTTCTCAGTTTAATAAAAACAGGAATTTACATCCATGAATGAGTGGAGGGGCATCAGAAGTGCTGAGAAAGAAGAGTGCCAATAAAGGATTGGGTGGTTTTGCTTCAAATAGTGGTGGAGAGTCAAGAAAGTCTTCTTCAAGGGGTTTGATGCTTACGCTAAATCTTAAAAGGGGAATCTCTGTAACTTTTTTTGGCTTTGCCTTACCTGTTGGAGTCTTTCCTTTATGTCCTGCCATAGGATCTTGATAAGCAACTAAGGGTAGCACTTATCGAAGCAAGTTTTGTTAGGGTCTTTGCTCTCACCACGTGACTGAATGGTTGGTGTTTGTATCATGTACAATAGGCATTTTACATGATGGCTGGTTAAATCGCCAAGTTGGGAAAAGAGGGTGAACAAACCTTGGACAGCACATGGTGTAAAATGCTAATAAGCACACTATAAATAGCACAATTTACCAAATATCTCCTCCCATTTGTTCTTCAAAGAGTTATTCCCAATTTGTAAATATTTTATTGAAAGTCCACAAATCAGATTAGGTAGAACTGGGGTTGAGACCAATCTGACTCCAAAACACAAGACCTTTTCTACTATCTCAGACTACTACTTTGAAATGTAGATGTTATTAAATCCTTTAAAATTATTTAATACTGTAGCAACACAAAATTTGCTGATCTTTCTAGCTCTTATATTTGAAAACTAGTCTTTCATTTACTATAAAAGATAAAATAATAACTATAAATATATTTAGAATGTAATTAATTGGATAGGCATTAATTTAAGAATACATGAAAGATAATAAAATCTTTTAATTAATACTAATGCTTGACCCTTTTAAAAGTGGGGCATGCACATAACTATGAATCAGAAGACTTACCTGAGGAACAAATAATTTCAAGTTTTTGTAAGAATACATCCATCCCCTCCCCCATGCACACACATTTATAAATTTTTCTCCAGCTGTCAAATAGAATGAATTCCATTTAGGACAGGAGGTAAACATTGCGATGATATGTTATTTCAAACATTCTACATTCTAGAAGTAGTATCTTTTGAAATACTAAGCTAGAGAAGCAAATCTGATTGGTTACAATGAAATAAAAAATAAATCCCAAAGTAAGCCTCTTACTTTTGATCCAGAAGCTCAAAAAGATCACTGGGTTCATCTCTTTCTAGTCTTCCTTTTTTATTATTTTTTTGCTTTGCTCAGTTTTCCCATGGATATCTAATTTAGACTCTGTTTAAGATTTATGTATTTTATGTAACTCAGTTTCCTATTACAATCAGTAAAAATGTAATAAATATTACAGATTAATGTCACTAAAAAAATAGATAATGGGAAGAATGGTCGCAGGTGATAGTTCCTTCTCTGTCACAGAAACCCTTCTTTAAATGAAACACTAGTTTTGCACTTTAAAGAGAAAAAAATTACCTACATTTAAAAACAAATAAATCCCCAAATCTTAAATTCATTAAAAAAAAAACAAATATTTTATTCAAAGATAGATTTACTAGAACCTTTAAAATCCTTTTAAAAACTATATACAACTGGTATGCCACATCTTTCCTGAATTGGGTTCATGGCACTAAGAGCAGATGCGTGACTCTTAAATATAACAATCATGGGAGTTAAACTGGTACTCTGAAAACAAAGAGAAAAGAGTAAAAACACTTTCCTTCAATTAAACTCAATCCGCAGGCAAAGTTGTTAATTTAACAGACTCTGAGACACCACTTATGTTATTTTGGCAATTTTAACTCTCCGGGTGTGATTAAAGAAACAATTACTAGTTTTATGCCAAGAATTCTGGGTAAATTAAGAATTAATTAAGAAACAACCTTAAGCTCAGCATTGACTCCATATTTGGTTAGAGATTTGAATAGTTTCTGCGTCATTAAAAAACAAAAGAGCAAAAGCCACAACTATTGGGTGTTCTTAATGAAATAGATATTAATGAAATGATTTTACCATAGATAAACTATACGATTGAAAGATAACCTAAACTATATCTAAAATTAATTTCATACAGTAATTGGACTTAAAAATAAACCAGGGGGCTTATGAACAAAAGTTGTTTGTGGCTTTTGAAAGAAGATAAGGTTAAAAGATACATACATACATACCTACATAGTGTTATATATACAACAGATTTTTATAGCTAAGTTACAAGCACTTATTTATTTTTAGAATACTAAATCAAAGTAACCTTTTGATTAAAAAAAAACACATAATCTATTAATTTAAAATGTGAATTTTTTTTCTCCCTAGGTCATGCTCTTAAACCTCAGGTTTCCTCTATTTTTACATCATTTCTGGATGGACTAAAAAAGTTTTACATTACAAAGGTAATACTTTTTATAAATGCTCTGCTAAGTGCTTAGCATATTAATATTGTTTCCTGCCTTCTTCCCTTCAAATGCACCTCTTGTAGATACATTTCCCCATATAACTATGTATATTTCATTATCTTTTTCATGTTTGAATAATTATTATCAAGTAAATCAATGATGCATTCAATTTTAGAAATTTAAATTCTAAGTTTGAGATGCCTTAAAATATCCTGCACTAAACAGTTTCATGCATATAACATTTTTTATGGCTTATTTTCCTTTACAGTAAATATCTGTAAATGAACTAGCATAGAAATTTTAAAACCGCTTCTGATTGTTGAATTCCTTCCAGATAGGATTATACCAGCTACACCACCGCCAGCAGTGCGCGTGCCGCTTTGTTGGTACTGCATCCTTGCTGTTGCATATGGGACTTTGCTGTTTTCAAATCATATCCGGGGAGGCAGTAATAGGTTATTTTACTTGTTTTTTGATTCTCCAAGGAGATGATAACCATTTTTCTGTATTTTCTAGATGTAATTTTCACATGAGTGAGTTGAATATGATGGTTTTGTCAGGGGTGAAAGTGAATGTTTTTCTTCTTGGTGCTTTGGAGTGGTGTCCTTTAAGTAATGGAATTATTATTTATCACAAAGGTTGACTTTGTGATAAATGTCGATAATTTTCCCAATCAGATGATTTACTTACTAGTAAGGTATTTGTGTGTGGGTGTGTAAAATTTATATATATATATATTTTCCCTGTGATTACTAAGCTTAGAAAATACTTCCTCTATAAGTATGATATAGGATTATTTTCTGACTTTTTTGTTAAATGGAAATTTAAAAAATTTATCTTTATTCCTGTTTGAATTTATTTCAATCTTGTGACATAAAATATACAAATTAATCTTCATCTCCTGTTCTCCCAGTTGCTAGCCAGTTGTGACAGCACTATAAACTAATTAATCCCTGCTTTCCTTATATTGATTTGCCACGTCTGAGACATCTTTTTATATACTTATTCAAGAAATAGACTCCACTTAATGTATCTAAATCTTTTAAATGAGCTGTTGTTTTTGAAAAAGTAAATGGTTTTAATTCCTGTATGTCTAGTTACTCTCTTATTTTCAAAATTTTTCTTTAGAACTATCATCTACATATTTATTATTCTAGGACAATTTAGAAACTTTTCCCATTTTAGGAAGTACATCAAAAACTTTATTACAACTAATATAAACAAATTATTAATTTGGGCAAGCATCGACATGTTTATACTCAGAAACATGTCCTTGTCTTACTTTAAACATTTGTTAATAAGTTGTGTATTTGTTTTTAAGATTATTCTTAGTTATTTTAATTTTATACTAAAATCTGCCTCAAAATACTAACTTACTGTTGATATGTAAAGATACTGTTGGTTTTCACACCCCCTCCATATCCTACCTATTATATTATGTCATTCTAATAGGTTTACTTTATCTTTTATTAGTTATAATTATTGTTTTTTTTTGTATTTTGTAAAGCCAATGCTGTCATGAATTACACCAGATTATTTTGAATGAAGTATTTTCCATAGTTTTGTTTTATTGTAATGAATAGTTGTATTAAACATTTTTTGTTTGACACATCAACTCATTAACCTCAATTCTTAATGAGTTGCTGTGTTTGAGACCAGATCAGAAGGAAAAAAAAAGAACTATGTATTTTAACCTACTATGTTGTTATATAACACTTATATCTAATATATGTTTTTTATAGTTTAAAGGATTTGATCCAAATCAGATAAGTGTTGCCACATTACTGTTTGAAGGGGACCGTGAGAAGGTTCTTCAACATGAAAAACAAGTATACGACATTGCCGCAAAATTTGGGTATGACTTTTAAGTTCATAATGCCAAGAGAACATTAAACTGAAATTCTATCATCTGTAAACAGTTGTTAGTGTATCCTTTTTAATATTAAATTTGTGGTAATAAATGATAGTTTAAAATCTTGTATTGGTTTATTATCAAAGTTTGTGGAGTTAGATTGGTATGTTGCTTTTGCTTATCTAATACAGATGATGTATTAAAGTGTTGTATTTTTCCATTACTGCTGATTTTAAAATATTTTGTGTTTTTTTTTTGCTAGAGTGAAATTAGAAAGATTCATGTCATGTTTATCAATTTTTCATGATAATAGTGTATGTATAAAACATGTTATTAGTGTGTTTTTAAAAGGAAATTGTGTTTAATCAAAAGTATTTGATAGATTATCTACACTCCACCCCCTGTCACTTACTGTTTTCTGCTGGTTTAAAGAAACAGAAAACATTTCACATCTATAACCAGCTGAATAATGATTGGGTGGTTTCTGTCTGTCTGCTTGATGGATTACAAGATTGATGGATGAGAGCTGGAGTGAAAATGCCATTTATCAGGACTACATTTTTTTCTTTCCTTTTTAACTACAGAGGCTAACTGTTCTCTGGATACCAATTTGTCCTTTTTTTCCCCAGAACTAAAATATAGCAGTCATTATGCTTAATGAGTTCCTTGTAAATATTTGCTTTTATTCCTTTCTTTTTACATCTTTTTATGAGGATGTCATGTGATGTTCAACCCTTTACCTTATGATTTTCTGAATTTAGTATTAGTGTAGTATTTGTCAAAAAGCATTTAATCTTGGGATTTTTAGTTTTTTTGTGTGTGCATTTTTTGAGTTTTACATTTCCTGTCAGTTGTATCTTATTCTGAAATTGGCAAGTGGAATTTTAATTTCTTTAGTAAAATGTGAAATTCAGTAGTTTTTCACTTTCCTGTTCCATAATACCTCTTTTTAGATTATTGTTTTAAATAAATAAGAGTAAATGTGCTATAAAAATTCATTTACTAACCAAATGGCTTACATTTCAGTTAATATGAATTTTTGTTTTAATGTATATGTTTTCCTTTCCAGACAGAATTTAGTACCATACTAGAATTTAGTACTATACTAAATTCTGTGTACTTACTTTTAGTTGTGTGAAGTACATAACTAACTTGATTAATTTTTTCCCCAAAAGTCCACATTATTGAGGGAAAAATTGAGATTTAAACTAAGACCTTTTATATCTACTCCAGTGTTATATCTAGAAATTTAACTTTGAAAATTCTTTAAATATTTGATAGTTAATTTGGATTTTAAAGCCTTTTGGAAGGAATTGTAGGAAATAGATTTTTATAGGAAATATTTGAATCACTATGTGTAAAATTCAGTTTGCTTTTTTTCACCTCAGTCCCCTCACTGCCTCCACCATGCGTCCTTTGATTCTCTTTGCTCTCTCCTACTTTGTAAGCTCTTTAATTACAATTATTTTCAGAATAGCTAGCAAATCTTTATTAGCATATTTCCTGTTGACTGGGGTAGGATGATGACAAAATGTTTCTTTTTCTATATCACACAATTTTTATAAGGCATGAGTTGTTTCTTTTGGGGTACCACCATTTATTTCTAGTTCATACTAGATTCTTGATTAAATATTTAAAAAGAATTACTGAAACTGAATACTTCATTTTTACTAACATTTTTAATTCTATTTCTTTAATGTTTTAATTACTATGCCAATCTTAAAACTGTTTTAAGCTGTAGGTACTTATCCGAAATATTTGTCATCTTATTTAATTTGAACTGCCAGTCATGAATTCTTTTTTCACGTAATTCCAATTTTGTTTTTCTTACGTAACACCATTCACTTACAACTTAAAAATTAGAGTAGAATCTTCCTTAAGATGAATCCAAGTCTCATCAGGTATTGATACTAGACCTCGGAACTGTTCATTTGGTTCTAGATCATATTTTAGTAAGCAAAATTTGTATGCATTAATATCTATACATATCTCTATATAGATAGCTATTACAGCTAGATTATAGCACTAAGTACTTAAGTTTTAGTTGAGGTCTCATTTTTTTGTTATTACTATAACTACTTCCTACTTAAAGTACTAGTTCAAACTAGGAAGTAGTTATGTTATAATTAGTTTCTTAATCTACTTTCATCTGGCGCCCTTCACTTAAGTGAAGAAATCTTTTGTTTTGAACAACCCAATCTGTCATTGGCAGATGATTTAGGGTATTTTTTGTTTTGATACTTGGAAATATCTTCTATGGTTCACTGGCAGAACTGGTTATCCCTATGTTTTCCCTATGTTTTCTGCAGACACTAGTTCTTTGTTTTAATTGCTGAAAGATTTTATAATAGTTTTAATGTTTAGGATGCTACTCTGCCAACCCTTTCTCCTCAGCTATTTCACCTTCTGCATAACTGTATGGATTAAAGTTTCTACTATAGTTCTTAGAAAGTTTTTGTCAGTTTAGTTGATGTATTTTATTTTGTATTAGGGATTGTTAATTTATTTTGTATTTTCTGTTCCAGCCTCTGTTCCTGTCACTTAATTAACTTTAAATTGATTGTTTCTAATGAAGTTTCCCAATACATAGTATATTTTTATGTGTTATCTGAGATACTTTTTTCTCCTTGCCTTCTACCCCTATCCTAACACTTAAATAGCTTTGAACATACACAGTCAAACAGAATTGTTGAATAATCATACTTAGTTGGTTTATCTGTTTGCTAGTAATGTACATGAACTTGAGCAACAGCTAAGCAGAATAAATATTACCTGTCAACAGTCATGACAGATGTATTGACATTTAGCATAGAACTTAAGGTAATATGTTATCGTTATTTCTAAAGTGTGTGCTTAAGTTGTTTAATGTGATTCAGCATGAGAGTGATTAGGTTCACCAGATGGCTCTTTTATATAAAAAGATTGTTTCTCATTCCCTTTTCATTAGTCTTCCCAGTTCTTTTTCATGAAACAGCTTTAAATTTGTTTAAGAGCCTTGTTAATTGATGTTTGAAATTTGTGGCAAGGAGCAGGAAGTAGGGGATGGATGTTGCTACTTTCACATGAAACATTTTGCATTTAAATATAATTATTTGGAGTGGCTGCAAAAGTAGCATGTTAGAAGCATTTATTTTCTTAGCCCTACTGCTGCTTACATATTTTATCTCCAGGTAATTCTGATTAGAAGATGGAGAGTCCTGAAAGCTTAAAAAAAGGAGAAGTTCCACAAAACCTAAGTTTGTATGGTAACCAGTAATGATTCAGAAAAAGAAAGTCTAAAATTTAGTCTGGACATCCAAATTTTTTTTATTTTAGGCAAGAAAATGCATGATTCTGCATTTGTCCCAATTGAGTAGATTGGCCCACTTCCCATCTCTCTGACAGATGTTAGAAGAAGGTTTAAAGAAAAATTGCTTGACCTGAGACTGGAAAGAAGGACTTTTTATCATCCTGATATGAGAGAGGCAGGACTACTAAATGTCTGTACCTGTCACTTTTCAGCAAACATCTGCTTAGCTTCACTTTTTCAAAACTTCACTCATCTCTTGTACCCTTTCCTAGTCTTTCACTCACCTTTTTTTCTCCTACCACTAAAACAGTTCTGTTTCCTACATCAGTAATATTTTTTTTTCTCTTGTATTCAGTGTCTGAACATATGAACAGAACATATCTATCTGAAGTATAAACTCCACTGTTTTCCTCCAGGCACTCACTACAGCAATTATCTAATTGCCCTTTTGTTCTAGACCTTCATTTGACTTCCAGACTCAAATCCATACACATCTAACCCAGAATTGTCTTCTGTTTCTTGTTTTGTAACTCTCAACTGTTTGACCTAAGTTTTATCTTCTTCACTTACTAAGATTATAGTAATAAACCCATTTGTTTTATTGTACCCACTTCTCAAGTAGTTCTACACTAGAGCTGTGCCTGTCAGATCTTTACCACTCCTTTTTGATGACATTGGTTTATACGTAACCACCTATAATGGTAAATTAGGAAATCTGAATTATCCTACCCTAAAATTGTCATTCAGTGTTTGTATAGAACAAGGCTACATCCATATTGTAGTATTTATTTACTGCCAAACCTAAGCAATTTTAAGAGGAAGAAAGAATTTTAACTGTAGATATTAACTGAAGTCATAAAAGAAATGATTCTTCCTGAAAAAGTTCAGATAACAGGCTCAAGGCCTGGGACTTAGGTGACATCTTTAGTATAGTCTTAGCATTCTCAGAGTGAAAACATGTGATTAGGATATTAAGAAGATGTATGAAAAGAAAGGTATAAAAATTAATCATCATTTGTGATACCTCCCCCCCAAAAAGAAAAACAAAAACCACAAGAAAATATATACTTTTTATCTGGTTTTATTAAGGGAATTTTAGTGGGTACATTGAGTTTTGTTTAGATGACTAATAATAATAAAAATTTAATTTCTGCAGGGTTAATTTTCAGTGATACCACCTGGAAGGTCCATCACAACCACCTGAGTTTGATCCCCAGCCAGGGAACAAATCCATACCTAGCAGCAGACCTCTTAACACTGCTCCCCTCAACAGTGTCTTTCAAAAAATCTGCTCTTCTGCTTCCTACTCCGTCTCTGGTGCATCCTCTCATCCCCTGCAGCTCTGGCCTACATACACCCCAGTTCTTCTGCACATAAAATTAATTAGTTAATTAAATTTAATTTCTACCTAATAACAGAAAAAACAAGCATTAAAAATTCTTCACTGAAGGGTAGTGGAAATCAGTAATCATTCATAGTCTTTTTTTTTTTTTTTTTTAAGATTTATTTATTCATACAGAATTGGGGTACAGGCCAGAGATGCGGAGGGTGAGAGGATTCACCAGAGACAGAGTGGGGAGCAGAACAGGCAGATCGACGAAGTACACTGCTGAGGGGAGCAGCGGGCGGGTCAGGAGAGGTCTGCCACGCCATGTGGTCACCTCCGGGGCAGGCGGGAATCGAACTCATGCGGAAGCGGCTTTGGATTCTCAGTGCTGTGCTTTAACCCGCTGCGCCACCAGGGAGGGCCTCATTCATAGTCTTTTAAAAGAAGAATGACTTTTATAAACCAGAGTGCTTGTACTGAGTTATATGCTGAATGGGATTAATTCTAACTAGATCATCAAATGCAGTTTCTATGGATAAAACTACTTAATAGATTGAAATGTGCTCATAGTAATAGCACCTTGCCTGTTGGTTTTGCACTGTATGTTGCTTAACAAACTTTAAAACTTCTGTGTAAGTACATTTTGTTCTTTCATTAAGTCATAAGTTCCATAAAGTAAACCACCATGCCTAATATTCCAGATTCTGTGTGCTTAAATATTCAGGAAATATCCTGGTATTTGGAAGAGATTTCTTGAATATCTTTTTATGGTATTATGACTATAGTAATATAAATTCATAAATATTAATATATATATATGAGTTATATATCTTATTAATGAAATAAATAGGAGTATTAAGAGTATATCGGTAAAGTAAAATATTTTGTTATGTTGTAAAAAATTAAATTTGTTTAAGCTTATTTCTCATGATTAATTCTGTTCTTTTGTTAACTTGGTAGAAGTAGTTAAGGTCATATGAGTCATAGTTTGGTGGATAAAAGTTTAAAGTTAAGGGTCAACCTGAAGTATTGAAAGTGTTTCCAGATTTCTGTTATACAAGCTTATATTCTTCATAGGACTTAGATAAGTTTATGACCCATGAGACCTGAAATAAAAGTGAAATGCAACGTAATATATGTTAAAGTGTAAAGCAGTTATCTTGAGGGATCATATCAATCTTGTTAGTTTTATGTATTTTTAATAATTCATGGAACTATATTAATAGTTTGTTCTTTACATACAGTGGATTGGCAGCTGGAGAAGATAATGGACAGAGAGGTTATTTACTGACCTATGTCATTGCGTACATTCGAGTAAGTTATATCACACTTTGGTCTATGTTTCAAGCAGTTATTTTTGCATTAAGTGAATAAAATTATTTTCTTAAATTTTAATCAACTATAAGATAATATATCATTTTGATTGAACTCAGGATTAGCTACAAATCTTCTGAAGCCAGTTAAACCTTTCATATATGCTTTTCAAGAATTTAAAGGCCATGTTCTCTCTGTGGAATTGGAATACACTATTCCTAACTTTATTCGATTAAAATCAAGCCATCTTGGACCCTCCCTTCCCTGGTGGCCTAGGGATTAAGTCTCAGTGCTATTACTGTAATAGCCTGAGTTCAGTCCCTGGCCAGGGAGCGAACTCACATAGCACAGCAGACCTCCTGTCTCACCTGCTGCTCCCCTCAGCAGTGTATTTCAGTAGATCCACTGTTTTGCTCCCCACTCCGTCTCTGGTAAACCTTTACACACACACCTCTCCACACCCCCGCAGTTCTGGCCTACAGTTTGTCTATGCAAAAATAAATAAAAACAAAATCTTTTTTTAAAAAATCAAGCTACCTTATTTAGCAAGTATTCCTCACTTGATCCATAATCTGTTTTAAAGATAACGATATTTTTTAGCTTTATAAGTTGATATTTACCTTGACTTGAGTAGTGATTGATTCACTAGTGGTGACTCCTATATGGGGTTAAGGAAATAATTGTGTATATTTGAGCATTAAAATTTTTACAATTACAGATTTTCTATTTGTAAGAAACTTTACTAGCTATCCGGACTAAAAAGCTAACCTAAAGAGTCTGGTATATTTATTGATATGGAAGTTTATTCTGTTTTTTTGTTTGTTTGTTTGTTTGTTTGTTTAAGATTTATTTATTTATGCTTACGGAACCTGGGTACAGGTCAGAGTTGCAGGGGTGGTGAGAGGCTTCACCAGAGACAAAGTGGGGAGCAGAACAGTCCGACTGACGAAGTACACTGCTGAGGGGAGCACTGGGCAGGTCAGGAGAGGTCTGCTGCTCCATGTGGGTCACCTCCAGGGTGGGCAGGGATCGAACTCATGCTGAAGTGACTTTAGCTTCTTAGTGCTGTGCTTTAACCCGCTGTGCCACCAGGGAGGGCCCCACCAGCTGAAGTATTTTAATTATTTTCTGCCATTGAGGTTAGTTTTTAAATTTTTATTTATTTTTCATATAACATGTGCTTATCTCGTGTATGGTCCCCAAGAATTTCCCACCACCAGTTTACTTGTGTACCATCACCATAGTCCCTGTGCTCTTCCCACCTCTGTTTTGATCCAATTTCCAACTCCCTGTACCCCAAGAATGACTCTAATTCATAGTTGCCTGTTGATTTTGGTTTTTACTTGTTATAATCACTTCCCCCTCATCCTTGTTGACAGGCTATTTCCTTATCTAAGATAGTCTATTGAGAATTTGACTTCGCTAAATATTAAATCTTCAAATTTTTCATTTGGAAATTCTTCTGAGGGAAATACTTACATAAAATCTTATATGAAATTTGCTTTTACTTCTCTAGAAAACCTTGAATTATTTTCTCATTTAAAAATGTCTAATCTGGGACCCTCCCTGGTGGTGCAGAGAGTTGGAGCACAACGCTATAAGCCAGCCGCAGCCACTTCAGTAAAGTTCGATCCCCAGCCCCAGAGGTGATCCACATGGTATGGCAGACCTCTCCTGGCCCTTCTGCTGTTCCCCTCAGCAGTGTCCTTCCTCAATATGACTGTTTTGCCCCCACTTTGTCTCTGGTGAATCCTCTTACCGCCCCTGTGCCTCTGGCCTGCACCCCAGTTCTATATGTGTAAATAAGTAAAAATCTTTAAAAAAAAAAAAAAAGTCATAATCCTAGGTAAGATGTAAATTTGCAACATGTAGATCTTTTACCCTCATAAGGCCTTCCCTCAAGTTTTTTCCCCACGCTAATGAGGTAAAATACTGTATTCCATTTGTACTGGGTTAGAAATTGTAATTAAAAGATTTACAGATCCATAAAAAGTAATAGGTGATTTTAGGCCTTGTAAATAATGTTTACCTCCATAGACTGTCACTTACCCTTACTTTGTCCCATAGTAAACATTTTGGGAATATATAAGATTTGTTTGTTAGGCATTTTTTTGGGAGGATATCTGAGATTTGAAACATTAAAATAACTGAGTATAGCATGGAGAGTTTAGAATAAGTTTTTGGTAATGAGTGTTAAAACTTTTAAATCAAAAGCAAGTTAGAGATTGGGGGGCTTATTTTATTTTTCATTTTCCCAGTGCTTACCAAATACATGTTTACTGAATAATTAAATTCTCTATAGGAAAACATATATTTTACTGAGTTACTTGAGAATTTTTCTTGCTAACAGTAATAGAATTTTAAAAAATTTCTTTCTGGCTACGCTTGTGAATTGTTCTTTCCAGTTTTGCTGTTAAACAGAATTGTGAGACAATAAAGAAATTGGTATTATAAGTTATTTATAAAAAATGCTATGCCTTGTTTGTGATAAAATATATTTTTCTAGCAGGAGTGTTTCTAGATGCTCTTTATAGTTATAATAGAGAGGCACTGTGTTTTCTAACTTTGTTTTCAAAGAAAATTTGATTTTAAGAAAGGAAAATGTTCTTTTCCCTCTTCTACTTCTTCAGACTTGTTCTGCTGATGCTCATGGCCAATTTTTAGTATAGTTTAGTTTGCTATTTTAGGTTTCTAGAAATCTATTGGTATTCTCTAGATGTACATAGATTGTTCTTTGATAGAGACTCCATTCGTTGGGGAAATGTATGCGTTTCTACCATGTGTCAGGTACTGACTGTGCCAGGGGTACAGAGGAGACTAAGACAGCTAATTTTCTTATCCTCTGTGAGGTTATGGTTACTCTTGGGGCTCCAGTGCACTTATGAGATGAATAGTAAAGACCAGTGGAGGTTAATTAAAAAAAACATGATGCTAACATAAGAATTATATGAAATACTAACGAGGAACATGAAATACTGACAGTATTATTGATTTTTTTCTGATCTGTTCTAATTTCTTAATTGTTATGTATATGTCTTAACAGGACTTGGCCTTGGAATACTATATAGTAGGAGAATCTTTTGAGACTTCTGCTCCTTGGGACAGGTAAAATGTACTGGAATACCTCGTATACTTGTTTGATTGATTCGATGATCATATTTTTCACATGTAGAATTACATATGGGATCTTTTTCCTTTGAAAGTAATTTCTCTAGCCGAAGTTTTTAATAAGTAAATTTAAGGGAACACAACAATATTCCTTACTTAGCATTTACTTGTTAGTCATTTAACAACTTCTTTTTTTATTCTCCCCAAACCTTTAGGTAGTTAGAAACTGTGTTTAACAGCAGCCCATGGGAACACGGTCTTCAAACATATATGGTAGAGGCCTTTTATTTTGTTTGCCCTTTTTTTAAAAAAAATAAATTTATTGGTCCTCCCTGGTGGCGCAGCGGGTTAAAGCACTGCACTGAGAATCTAAAGCCACTTCCGCATGAGCTGGATCCCGCCTTCCCCGGAGGTGTCCACATGGCGTGGCAGACCTCTCCTGACCCGCCCGCTGCTCCCCTCAGCGGTGTACTTCATCGATCTGCCTGTTCTGCTCCCTGCTCTGTCTCTGGTGAAGCCTCTCACCGCCCCTGAGCCTCTGGCCTGTACCCCAGTTCTATATGCACAAATAAAAAAAAATCTTAAAAAATAAAAAAAAAATTATTTTCTTACATCATTGTTAATTTTTGGACAGTATTTGATTTCTCCCTTTTCTCCCCTCAGTTGTAGTCCCTATGGTTCTCCCATCACCATAGTCCCTTGTGCTTCCCTCCCCTGTTTTAACCCATCTCGCTTCCACTCCCCTGTTGTTTCTTTCAGTTGTGTCAGCTTGCAAGATTTGTCTTTTTCTTGATCCTTATTTCCATTTCCCTATGTTCCATATATAAGCAAAGCCATACAATATTTATCTTTATCCTTCTAAGTTATTTCACTTAGCCTACTTCCTCCCAGCTCCATCTGTGTTGCCATAAGTGGCATGAGTTTATCTTTTTGATCACTGAGTAGTATTGCACAGTGTATATATCACATCTTCTTGATCCAGTCATCTGTTTTGGGGCCTTTAGTTTGCTTTTATGTTTTGGCTATTGTAAGTAGTGCTGCAATAAAGATAGGAGTGCAAGTTTCCTTTTTGAATTAGTATCTTTGTGCCCTTTGGGTAGATTCCTTGTAGTGGACTCACTGATCATATAGTAGATCCATTTTTAGTGTTTTGAGGAACTTCTGTACTCTTCTGTAAGTGGCTTGACCAGTTTACATTCCCAGCAAGTGTAAGAGGGTTCCATTTTCACCACATCCTTGCCAGCTTTTGTTATTTCTAGTTTTTTTTTTTTTTAAGTGGGCCATTCTCACAGTTGTGAAATGGTATCTTGTGGTTTTGACTTGTATTTCCCTGATAATAAGTGATGAACATTTTTTCATATGCCTTTTTGGCCTTTTCATACACAAGTCTCTCAAGGAATGGAGAGCTCACTAGTTTTTGTGCATTCTTCTGTAGGCCTAGCAGCAGTGGTTGTACCTGTTAAGTGCTTAATGAATATTCTGCAAAGTTTCCTGAATCTAGAGCAGTGTAAGAATTTAGAAATAGTTGTCTATAAACTCCAAGTTAGAGATTTTTAAAGACCTCAGCATAAGACTGATTAAAAGCAAGGGAGGAGGTACAAACACAACAGATAATGTGGAAACAAAGAGGATCTATCAAAAGAATTCCAGGGAACCCCAACATACAAGTGATAGTCATACACACAAGAACTAGCAGGTGATTGAGGAATAAGATCTACAGGATTCAGAAGAAAACCAGTGATATAACAAAAGCCCTGGGAATTTTATTTTGCAGAGAAAATGGTCAATAGAGTTAAATTTGCTCAAAGGTCAGTTAAGAATTTAAAAATAGACAGTTATGTTTGTCACTTATAAAGTGATTGGCTCAAAGGAACTCTGTTGGCCTTTGCTAAATTTCTATGAGAACTTCCTCCCTACAGATAATTTCTATGAATAATAACATTAAGGGACATAACATTTAGTTCTTTGTCCCTCCTCCTCATTATTCAGCTATCTATGAAGTTTTAGACATAAGCAGTTCCTAGCAACTCAGTATTATTACATTTGTAACAACTGTATGCATTTGAATTTGAATGTATTTTAACTGAAATATGATCCACCAAATGTTTTAAATAAAAAAGGATTATAAAAGCACACTAACTACTAATTATAAAGCTTGTTACTTTTACAAATTTGTAATATTAACATCTGTAAATAATAAAGCTTATGGGTTTTATTTATATTTAAAGTAATTGTTTTGTAATTATATTACTTTGAAAAATTTTTTTAAATTCCAAAAATAGCACACAGATAAACAACACTGAAAAATTGTATTTGCTACAGCTCTCATAAAATAAAGCAGAATTAATGTAACATTTTTAAAAATCAGAATTTATAAAACTTTCAGAGGCTCTATAAAAAATTTGACTGCTAATAAGACACTAAAATCATTTTTATATTTATATTCTAATCACATATTCTTTGTTCTTATTATAAGTGTAGATAAGTTTAATGTATTTTATAATTATAGTTGAATGTTATTGTTTTAATCAAATTGGTTTTCATATTATCAAATAAATCTTGAGATGAGAGATGAGTCAAACTTTTGAATTTCTTCAGTGTCTTTTCAATTTTGGTGACCCAGAATTGATGTTAGTATGTGGCCAGGATATTTATTGGAGAATAAAATGACATATACACCTTAAAAGTTTTACTTTCTTGATGAAACAAAGTATAGTTATAACAGTATGTTACAGCTTACATTAATTAATTAATTAATATTGTTAAATAGCCTCAATCGCCCCCTTGCTCTTTAATGGTTATTACTGTCCTTCACCTATTTTCATGGACTTCTAATAAACTTGTATAGAAGATGCATAGACTTCTAGTCTAACATAGCACATTAGCATTTCACATACAGTTCATGACCAGTAAGTTTGTTGAATTGGTTTTTACCTCAGTGCTTGAGAATAGGTTAGTGAAATTGTTATAACACCAAGATTATTAATTGTTTTCAAATTAGGAAAAACTTCTTAGACATGGTTATGGATAGATATTTGTATAGCTTAGAATTGGATTTTCATTACAGTGTTCTAATAGGTTTTAAGGTCTTGCTATTAAATTTATTTTGAAATTGAGTTCTCCCTAGTATAGGAAACTGCCTTCAGGAAACAGTATGCTCTTTTGATTTTCCTTTTTTATATGGCAAAAAAGAAAGGACTCTACTTATCCTTGAAATTATGAATAGAAGACACAACTTGAATCACTAAGGCTTTTGTTCGTTCTTGAGGAATTACTTATGGAAGTTTCAGTTAAGACAATTTCTGACTTGAAGGATGTCAAATAAACTGGCTTATAGTAGAAATTTGGTAACTTGTTTGAAAACTTAATATTGTTTTATGTTTTCTAGAGTTGTTGATCTCTGCAGAAATGTAAAAGAAAGAATAATAAGGGAATGCAAAGAGAAGGGTGTTCAGTTTGCTCCTCTTTCTACATGCAGGTGAGTTTGAGCCTGTACTTCTTATTCTGGAAAAAAGTTAATTCATGGAGAAATATACATTGTCAGCTGAAGAAAAGCTTCAGCCTGTCTACTTAGCAAGTTTTCCAAACCCTCTTGCCACCTTGTTAGGATTGTGCCTATAAGCAGTACTGAGCCCTTTGGGAGAGTACTCTTAGTACCTTCATCACTATCTGGATGGTATGACTGAGAGCCAAATACCTGAACTCCAGGAATAAGAGAAGAATTCTTTCTTCTACAGAAAAAGCACTTTTAAGTGGTTTTTTTTTTCCAGTTATTGATGAAATAAATGGACATTGAATAAAGTAATGAGTGAAGCAAAAGAGCCAATGAAGATAAACTTGTTGCATTCCATTATCTTCCTGAGATAAGAGAATGTTCTTATCTGACCTCTGCTGAATGGTAGCCACTAGCCACATGTGACTTTTTTTTTAAGATTTATTTATTTATGCATCCAGAGATGGGATATAGATCAGAGTTGCAGGGGCGGTGAGAGGATTCACCAGAGACAGAGTGGGGAGCAGAATAGATAGGCTGACTAACGAAATACACTGCTGAGGGGAGCAGTGGGTGGGTCAGGAAAAGTCTACCACGCCATGTGGATCACCTCCAGGGTGGGGATCAAACTCATGCTGAAATGGCTTTAGCTTCTCAGTGCTGTGCTTTAACCCACTGCACCACCAGGGAGGACCCCACATGTGACTTTTTATTGTCTGAAATGTGTCTAGTGTGAAGCTAATTTTATTTAATTTTAAATAATTTAAATTGAAATGTGACAAGTATCTTCCATATCAGATACTGCATGATTAACTGATGATTGCTTGTGTCCTCTTTGTTAAGTAGCAGCAGACCTCAAAGTGGTTTTCTTTAGAGGGGGCACTTTATAGTCAGTCTTTTGGTATTTTCTCCATAAACACCAGAAGATTTAATGTAACAAGTCTGAATTTACAAGACTTGAGATCTCAGGGAATGGCTGTTCTATGGCAGATGCTATTAAGTGCTGCACACACCTCCTTTAGGAGTGAAGACGTAACCCTTAGCCACTGGAAATGCTGTTGGCAGCTCACTTCAGGGATGATCTCTGTGCATCCAATGACTGATTGGTTTGGGTGTGTAAAGTCCCATCATCCTCTATTGGGACAGCTCTGATGGGTCATCCTGCCTTCACATTTCCCTGGGGAGAGTTATATGAAGTTTCTGTTGAGATGCCTCTCAGCCTGACTTCTCTCACACAATTAAGATGCTGTTTTTTAAAGAATAATTTTCTGATAAAAGGTTAGATGCTCAACTTCTGTGATCATGATATTAAATCAAAGTTCAGAGTGTGCAACATTTAGTTATTTGAATATTTTGGTAAGTAGGATTTTAAATACAGTTCTTATGGCTCATATTTGGTTCAGCTAACATTAATAAACGTTTGATTTTAGTTTAGGTTAATTTGAATTTCTTAACAATGGCCAAGGAGATTATTCTGTGTAAATATTAAACATAAAATATATTTTTAAGCTAGTGCCTTAGAAACACTGTTAGATCTCATTAAAATCAAAGAACCCAGGAAACTAATTTAGGTGCATTGTTTCATTTAGTTAGTTAGTAGTGATAAAAAGGTAGTTTGTGGGTCGCTTCCGCATGAGTTAGATCCCTGCCTGCCCCGGAGGCCATAGAGGTCTTCCACATGGCGCAGCAGACCTCTCCTGGCCCACCCGCTGCTCCCCTCAGCAGTGTGCTTCATTGATCTGCCTATTCTGCTCCCCACTCTGACTCTGGTGAATCCTCTCACCCTCCGCATCTCTGACCTGTACCCCAGCTCTGTATAAATGAATAAATAAATCTTAAAAAAAAAAAAACAAAAACAAACAGGTAGTTTGTATAGGTATTCTAACCCTAAGTTTCTTGGTGAGTCTTAACATAGGTACTCAAAAAAAGTATAGAGCACAGTCTTTAGAAATTAAAGAATAATATAATGACTTTGACAATCACACTATCACTTGTCCAGACAATTTTGGAAGAGGATAGTATTTAATTATCCTAAATGATAAAATCTGTCTGTTAAAAGGTATTAAACCTAATTCACTTTCTGAAACTGAGATTTTCCAAGAGTTGTTTTTCATTATTTGGAGATTTATTATTTTCATTACTTGGAGACACTTGATCGATCAAATTTTGTTTTAATAATAGAAAGTTACTTTTCTATTGAAAACTGAACTATATAATATAGATTCTGGATTTTTTAGAAGTCAACAATGTTGTATTAGTATTTATGTGCATTGTCTGTTTATTAATATTAATGATTCTCATATGAGTGCTGTATATCTTACTAATTACTATTAAACTCACTTCATTCATGTATCCTTTAAAATTTACTTTTTAGTTAGTACTAATGATAATACCCATATAGTTCAAATGGTTCTCCAATTTATTTTAAACTTTGTAAATCTGGTACTTAAAATGTAAATATTCAAGGAGTCTTTTTTATGAGTGTGAATTAACACTAGAAGAAAAAAACAGCTGGCAAATTGACAGCAGTATTGTTAAACAGATCATTTCTTCTGTTCTGAGGCACCTAACATTTGGCCTAAAAAGCCATTAAAATTTTAGATTAGTTTCTATTTGTATTTTGTAGTAAACAAGAGTATTTCCTCTGTATTTCCTCCTTCTGTTAAATTAAACTCTTTGTGGGAACCTCTGTAGATTGAATTCAGAGAAATTTGAATTGATTTGGCTGTGATTACCTTAGCTCCCTTTTATTTTAATGCTTCACCTAATTGCACTTTGAAAGCCTAGTTATAGATTACATATGTGATTTGACCTAATATTCTTGATACCCTTTCTAAACACACGTACAGACTGATTGTATACAAATAGGTCCCAAGTGTAAAGATACTTAAGATCATGTCACTGAATTTGATGTAATCAGTTTTTTTTCAAACTCCTTACTAATAATTAATGTGAACTACTAGTGTCACTGTATTTAACTTAGTCTGATCATATTTTCGTTTGTGAACATTTTTGTTTTTGCATTTTAAGCTCTCATACTTATTTCTGTCAATTTTGAGTTAAGTCTGGAAGACTTGTAATGGGTCACTGGGTTCCATCTAGTCTATTCAGGGATTGCCTTTAACTACAATAGACTAATGAAAAAAGAAAGAAAATCCCTTCTCTGGAGGTGGAGTTTTGTTTGTTATTTTGGCCTCCAAACCAATGGGAGAAATGTTTACATTATTCTTCAATTTTTAATAATTAAGACTTAACCAAAACAAGTTATAAAGCAGTTCTTACAGTCAGTCTCTGTTCTTTCTTTCTTTCTTTCTTTTAAGATTTATTTATTTATGCATACAGAACTGGGGTATAGACCAGAGGTGCAGGGGTGGTGAGAGGATTCACCAGAACTGGGGTATAGACCAGAGGTGCAGGGGTGGTGAGAGGATTCACCAGAGACAGAATGGAGAGAAGAGCAGGCAGATCAATGATGTACACTGCTGGGGGAGCAGTGGGCGGGTCAGGAGAGGTCTGCCACGCCATGTGATCACCTCCGGGGAGGGGATTGAACTCATGCTGAAGTGGCTTTAGCTTCTTAGTGCTGTGCTTTAACCTGCTGAGCACCAGGAAGGACCCAGTCTCTGTTCTTATCCCTATGAAATCTTTCTCTAGCCAGGCTTCCACCAGAGCCTGGCTAGAGAAAGTGATTTTGGCTTAAGCAAATCCATTTAGGTGATCTTGCCTGTTAAATTTCTGTACATTAAATCTGATTTCACTTAACTAAAGCCTTGTGGGGATTTTGTCCGTTTTTTAGGGTCACGCAGACTTATGATGCAGGTGCATGTATCTACTTCTACTTTGCCTTTAACTACAGGGGAATAAGTGACCCACTGACTGTGTTTGAACAAACTGAGGTAACTTTGCATACATGAATGAAGTTCTTACATTCTCTTACTGATTTAAATAAGTGACTATCATTTTGTAAATTTTATTTTTGATGCTGTTTCATCATTGATTGCTTGCCGGGCTGTTAGCCCATAGAAATGAGAAATGAATTTGTTACATTGTGTATGAAATTGTAAATCTAAAGTAAATATTTTGTACCTATTCTAAAGTAAATATTCTGTGACTTATGATTTTTTTTTTGTTATTGTACATTATAACTGATTCAATAACAAAAGGTTATAGGAATCACTTGGCAGCCCAAAGTAGTGGTAGCTGCTGTTGAGGTCTGCAGCTCCAATGCTCTTAGTTTATGTTGCTGTAATACTGTCATTCTAGCTTTAATTTTTCTTTTATTTGCTGAAATTATATATAGGCCAGTACAGTTCATTTAATAGTAGTTTCTGTTACATTTCTTATATGATCTTAAATTACTAATTTTTCTAAAGCTTTCTTTTGATCACCATCAAAAAATGCATCTCACTGTAAGTATGCTTAGTGTTGGGGAAACAGGCTAGACTGTGAGGAACTGTGGGAAACTGAGGTCCTAGTGTTTGTTGTAAGCCTGCTAATAAAGATAGTACTGTAAGGTCATTTTCAGTGGCATACCCATAAAGCCAAACCATCCACAGAGTTTAGTTGACTCCCTCCTAAGCTCCTCTCTCTCTTTTTTTGTTCCCCAACTTTTTTGAAATATAAGTGAAGTATAGTAAACTGCACATATTTAAATTGTATAATTTGATGAGTTTTGGCATTATGTATACCCCTGTGAAGTCATCATTGCAGTCAAAATCATGAGCATGCCACTACCTTCAAAAGTGAGTCCTTTCCAGTAGCCTTAGCCTTCTAGTGTTTGTATTGCTTATGCTAGCTACCAAAGGTAGTCTGGAGTAGTACCAAACTGAAATTTTTCTTCTTTCCTAATTGAAACTGGAATTCTGTAAATTCTGTAAATGCTGTTGAGTTCATGTAAAATAACTTGTTAGGAGGTAGTATTTCTTAGAACAGGGCTAGCATATTTAAGATTCATATGAAAACCCCTAAGTTCTAGATGAGGAGGTTCTTATATATTACTTTGCAGTGAGATAATGATCCCAGGTTTCCCAGGCCTTCTTCTACCCTGGTCTAACTCTTCATGGTTTATACAACCTGTGTATTCCAAGAAGTTCAAGGCACTGTAGGCATTTCATCTCACAGCTGTTATGTATTTATGAATTGTAAAGGATTGAATTTTCCAATTTCTATTTCCCATTTTCATTCAGCACTTCAGTCACTTGTTATTTGGCTGTGTTTGTCTTTTGTGTATCTCTCTGTGTGTGAGTTTACCTTTGTACCTTTTAGGACTCTACAAGCTTATTCGGGATCATGTTAGGTCCACAAAACAAGGCTTATTTTACCCCACACTTAGATATCCACAGAGTAACCAAGTACTTTGCCCCAAGGCATTGACCTAAGAAATGCTATAAAGGCCTTTTTGTTTAATTTCTGATAGCTTTGTAAGTAATCTTAAGTCTGATGTCTACTGTATATTAGATAATTTAGCCATCAAAGACTCATTTTCTTTATCTGTAAAATAGAAGTAATTATAATTGTTTTGTAACTTAAGCATTGTTATAAAGTGCTTTATACCTTTCCAGATACACAGCAATCAGTGAAAAGTTACTAATGTTTATTGTTATTAGTGAGAGATTTCCTTCAAATTGAACCCATCTCTGTCCTTATAAAACTTTTTATAAACAATCTGTGCACTGAATTCTAGAATCTCTACATGCCTCTTGTACATATTGTGATTGTTCTCTAGGGAAAAAGTCTTAGAAAGCTAGTCTGAATATTTCAATTGACCTAAGAGGTAGGAAATTTCATCTTATAGCTCATTATTTGACCCAGTGAATAGGTACCTCCTTTTTGGGGTTGGGTCTTCTTCTTTAAGGTGAAATCTAAGTATACAAATTTTTTGTTGTTGTTTCTTAATATAGGCAGCTGCTAGAGAAGAAATCCTTGCTAATGGAGGGAGCCTGTCACATCATCATGGAGGTAATCTTTGGGGCATATTATTTTTTTTTTTTTTAAAGATTTATTTATTTGTACATACAGAACCGGGGTACAGGCTAGAGGCTCAGGGGCGGTGAGAGGCTTCACCAGAGACAGAGTGGGGAGCAGAACAGGCAGATCGACGAAGCACACTGCTGAGGGGAGCAGCGGGTGGGTCAGGAGAGGTCTGCCACACCATATGGTCACCTCCGGGGTAGGCGGGAATCGAACTCATGCGGAAGTGGCTTTAGCTTCTCAGTGCAGTGCTTTAACCCGCTGCGCCACCAGGGAGGGCCCGGGGCATATTATTTTTAATAGTTCTACTGTTTAAGATACGTGGCTCAATAAAATGTATAAGAAAGTGATAATGTGATTAATATGGCAGTACTTGAGATTTCTTGAAAGTTTTTCTTTATTAGAGAAGTTGTCACTGATGTTGCCCACATTGTGGCAGTGCACACAGACAAACCTGCCTAGGTATAAAAACCTGGACAGTCTTGTTAAGTTCTCAGGGAAATTTGCTACCTAACAATAACCCAGTTTTCCTGGAAAGTATTTGGCTATGAGAGCAAAAGTCTTTAAAGGGGAAAAGAAAACTTGGGTAAGTATTTTTCATTTTCTATGGGAATGTAGCTAGCTGGACATCAGTTGTACCATACATTGAAGAAGTCTTTGTTCTGCTCACCCTCAGCAAATAAATCAAGACAATATAAAAGAGAAATGTTTTTCAAAATTTTGATTCAGATTATGGTGTTAAGTCTCTGTGTTAAACCTCTGATGTTACCAGAGAATTTATCACATCACCTATAAAAATTATGATATAGCTATATGTTACAAGCAGGCTTTATGAAAGAAAGATGAGGCAGTTTTTAAACAAGTTAAATTGTGGCCATCTGTCACTCAAGGTTTTCTGTTCTCTGAAACAAATTTGTTTTTTGTATATGCTTCAGTATAATTTGATGCTCAGAAAAATAGAAACATGTTAATTTTTTTAATTAAAAATTTTTAGAGGGTACTGTGAAGATAAACAAGTACCAAAATCTAAAAATTCAACTTCTACCTCTGCCCTACTCTTTATTCCTTTTTCCCTGTTTCATTTTCCTTCACAGTGTTTAGCATTATTTAACACTCTACCTATTTATATTTCCTTAAGTGAACTATACCTCCCTCTAGAAAGTGAGTATCCATCAGGACGAGGCTTTTGTTTTGTTTTCTTTGCTATGTACCAGTACCTAGACAGCGTTTAGCCCTTTGTATATATATGTAGAGTGAAGGAAATGATTTTGGTAGAGGAGAGTGGACTCTAAATGATCTGTATTCATGTAACATTATTGCACCCGAACTGGGGTAGATTGCTAATGTGGGTGAATGAAATAGAAAGATGGTCCCCAATATAACTGTATCAGTTATAATTTTGCTGTCACCTTTTTTTCCAGCCCATAAATTTATAGCTTAAAAATTGACTTGTAAGTATAAAAGTGAATAAATTAGTTCTTTCACCCCTCTTTCTATTTGTTAAATGAGCAAATAAACAAAAATGAGCGTGGGAGTAAAATGGATACTAGAAATCTCTCTAGTGGAATGAATCTGACTAATCCAAAAGTCTATACCTGATTTTGGAAATGTAAACATGAGATAATTTCATAAAGATACTTAAATTATTAGCCTCTTCTAAAATATTTAGAAAGCCATATATTATTTAAGATCTTTAAAATATTTTGACTTCAGGATGTCACCATGTTAATATGTTAAGGAAAATACTCATTAAATTATAGAATGATGAAATATTGATTTTTTTCATCTAAATTAACTGGATGGGGAGGGAGGACAATAATTTAGCTATAATTACTTATTTGAAGAAAAAAGTAAATTTTCCTTTCTTTAGCCAACAATTTTACCTTTTGGTACATGTCAGTGGCCAATAGTACACCTTCACCTTGAAGATCTGGAACTATAGTTTCTGTGTCTGTGTTGTTATATATGAGATGTGATTCTGTGCAAAGATACAAACAGCCAAATCTTAAATATACAGGAGGAAAGAGGGGCTTAATTTTCATTTAGGTAATAGGGTTTCAGATGAACTATTTCCTTAACTGAGGGAGGGTGTTCTCAGTTTACTCAAACAGTATAGTGTAAGAAGTTAAATAGGAGCTAAATACAACCAAATGAACTATAACATTACAGAGGAAAGCCAAACAGAATTTTGTGGGGTTTTTTGCTTTACCTTTTTAGGATCTGTTTGGATATTGATTTCTCTCTACTAGTGCCTGAATATGAGATGCTGAAAGCTGAATATAGCAGAACTGCAAATGTTACTTATTCACATATACCCCAGACCCTGAGAGCTTCTTAGTAGGCTTTAACATAATCTACATAAACATATTTGAAGTGATTTATCCAATAAAGCTCTCATTAGAGCAAAGAGAAAATATATACAAATTAAAGTAATAAAGCATTAAACTTTTTGAAAATTAGATTTTGTTATTGTGAAAACTATGGTAATAATATATCACATTAATCTGTGCACACAAATAGAAGAAAAGTATCAGGAAAAATATAAGCCCTAATTAACCTATAAGAGCAAGATTATTCAGTTCTTGATTCCAAAACAAATAATGTAAGTAGTTCCCTGTGATATTTTTGAAACAAAATATGCTTAATGCTTTTTAATACCCTTTGTGTGTTTTCCATACTATATGTACTGATCCACTTCAAAGAATGGTTTGTCCATCTCCTGAAGGATCTTATAGTCCAGTAAAATTAATCTTAGCATTTCAACGGGTCATTGGTTAAAACTGGTAGAGTTATTATCATCATCTCTTTAGCCAAGGTAAAAGCCTGCCCTTTTCTTTGACAAGAACTTAAATGGTGACTTTAATAAAGATGTAAATGCTGAAACAGTGAAGAGAATGGAGATATAATAGGCAAAAGAAGTAACATTTGTGAGTATTTAAATGTTTGCTAGTTGTTCTGCATAATTTAAGTCTTCTTGGATTCTTACCAAAGTGCTGTGAAGTAATTATTATTACTGACTTTAAGTAAAGACATATTAAGACTCTTGAATGTAGAATAATTTGCCCAAAGTTATCGGCAATAACGATCATGCGATGTAAGTTCGAACTTTGGTCTTCCTGCCCTCAGTTTCCCTATCTTTTTTTTTTTAA